GGCCACGGTAGTATTTGTTTGTCTTTTGATCCATTGAGGTCATCGAATTTAGGATCTGTAATGATTGTTTTGATGTCAGTAATGGATTTGCAATTAATAAACAGATAGGTGAATTGAAAGAGCAGAAAGACAACTTACATCCTTTCCATTGCACGCCCTATGACGACTGTCAGCTTTGACATTCCATCTCACACCATAACCCACGGTGAGTGTGCGGATGCCTTGCTCTTTTGCCTCCTTCGCAAAATAATTGCGTCTAGACAAACTGGAGCAAGTCATCTGGATGAGTTTATCAACCTGGTGTCTCCAAAAGAAAGGGATTTGAATCAGCTCAGGGAATAATTCATATCAAAATTAAGCAACTTGAGCTTGCCTTATGAATGCTACGTGCCACAATGTCATCCAATTGGATGATAGTGTCCAATGGCTCCTTGGGCAGTCCTTTGTTCTCACCTGTCTCAGGTACCAAGGATCCTTGCTCCTCATCCGAGTCTTCAGAGTCAATCACATCTACCTCCTCGTCGTTTAATTGAATGGTGGGGATAGGAATAACCAAACCAGGCTTGGTGGTGGGTTTGGTATGTCCTGCGCTGATATTGAGAATTTTGAGGCCATGGCTAACCATAAGAGCTAGCTTATGACAAAAGCACTTGACATGGCTTTTTTCAGGTGACCAGTGGACTGGAGAGTCGCATTCGGCAAAAAGTCGAGCCATTTCGCGAGCCATGGGGCCGTTGGATGACCCAGAATCAGTGGTCTGACCAATCATCTGCAGAAGGGAGGTCAGAAACTATTATAAAAGAAATGGAATTGTAATAGTATAAAAAACACATTACCTTTTTATGTAGACCGTGTCGGATTAGATTTTGAGCTACTGGTCAAGCCAGGAGATCTCCACAATGATGCCAAGTTACTAATTTCAAAGTGAGGTGCACCGTTTGATAGTTCCACTCGTCATCAATGTAATTAACCATCACACCTATGAATGCCATTCTGTTACCCTTTGTTGTCCATCCATCATGAGCTAAAGAGAACATGCTGGAGTTGTTCTATATAACCCATCATGTATATATAAGTGCTGAGATTAAAGAGGAGGAAACATAAAGCTGAAACTCACCTGGATGCGACCTATCACAACATTGTACAAAGAATAGAAAAGCTCCTTGGCTGTGGTAGCTGCCCATTTTGGTGATTGAAGCTGAGCAGCACAATTGCCCAGTTTGAAAGCTGCTCGCAAGGTCTGATCCTGGAATCAAATCCAAGGTAATGCATGTCGCAGTATCCAAATGACTAATACCACGTTGAGCAACTCGACACTGAAGGTGGACGCCGAAAGAAAAGACTTGATCGAATTACCGGGGTTGATTGCAATTTCAACGGGTGCATTAATCTCTTGCCAAGTGGGAGGAAGGTCAACATTGGCTTGAATGGCTTTTGCTTGTCCAGGGCAAGGCTTTCACTTTTTGTAACCGTCTCGGTGTCCGTACAGATTCGAATTTCCATTGTCTCCTCGAGTAAAAGTGCCGGGACACCACTTACATTTTAATCTTTGTTTAATTCCAGTAGCCTAGATAGATAGATAGAAAGTAGGTGATACAAGAATAGAAGGTGACAGGAAACATTATATGTGGGGATAAAACAATCCAAAAAACCGATAGGAAGGACTTATGGACTGACCTCTTCACCTGGAACGTACTCTGGATCCTTGTAGTACGACAGGAGAGCTTTGACCTCATCGTTGGTTGTTTTTCTAAAGCCCAGTCGAGTCGCCTTCATCTTCGGTGACTTGATCAACGTCAACATCGTCGGGATGAACAAAGTTCAAACAGACACAGTCAGCTCTCCGTATTAGATACATATGAAAGTTCAAGGGCCTATCTACTTACTTGGACGCAAGCGCTCGGGACTTCTGTTTCCGCAAGTGAACCGAGCTCGTCTTCTTCCGTTTCATCGTAGCCTGTTTCGTCTCTTGATTAGATTTAGAATTCGTTGTTGTGGGTGCAGGAGTAGGGGAAAGAGATTGATCTTTTGCTCCTTTGGATTCTTCTTGGTCTTCATTGGCGTTGTAATTGGAATCATCATCAGAGTTGATGGTGATTGATTTTTCTGGCCGATTTAAAGAGGTCCGAGAGTCTCCAGAGGTTGATACAAAACTCGCATCTTTCCGGCGTGGGCTGGCACGAGAGGATTGGCGAGAAGTTTCAGGAGGAAGTAACGACGAAGTAGACATGTCGAGGATAGAGTGATAGGAGAATAAGAGAGAAATGTAAGTTTAAATCAATTGTTAGTGAGCCGAAATGAAATATCAAGGAATTGATGAAAGACAAGGGAAGAGAAATGAAACTTACTAATTGGTTGTTTCAACCCAAGTACCTCCTTGGTTGAATCCAGGGAGAATATGGACAAAAAGATACATTGGAGGACCCTGCGTTGAGGAATCGAGATTGTCGATAATGAGGTGTGGTGGACCACCACACCTCATTATAATCCAATCATCAGTAGATATTGCTATCGTTGAATGGTTAAATCACTAAATCACTAGCTGACCTTAAAAGCTACAAGTCTTCGGCAGAACTTTCCGTCTGCATTGAAGAAAAATCCATTGATCGCCATGTAGGTGTGAGAATAGTCCGGGCTCGTCCAGGTGTCGGTAGCAGTCGATACGGAACCAGGAACCTTTGCGATCTCATCGATCAACTGTCGCTCCAAATCAAGGAACAATCCTTCGGCATCGGCTTTGATACCCGAACGTCCGGGCCAATAGAATGACGGGCTGATGGCACGGAGAGCTGCCTGCATTAAATCACCCTCAAAGATCGAGAAGGGCAGGTTTTTGCTGATAACTGCACCAATGAGCAACGTGCGGAGCTCTTTCTTGCGAGCGGCGGCAATCGCAGGGTCTTCATCCGGGGGAATGCTTCCGGGAGCACGACGGAACCAAGCGGCAGGGAGGCCAGGGCAAACTCGACGATGCTTGTGGAGGTTTGAGTTCGGACGCCCTGCAATTGAACACTCAGCACTGAGTGTGATAGAGCACTTGTCAGTAATAGAAGTGACATTGATGAAGAGGAGGTAACTTACGGGCAATGTAGGCAGGGGTACACCTTTGAGATTTCCCCTTTGGCGTGATCCTGGTGTACCCTTGGCTCCTGGGTGAGAAAGTCCATCTCCATCAGCGTGATAATCATAGAAGGAAAGAGACCAAAAACGAAAAAACTCACGTCAAAATAAAGATAGACATCCGAACGGTGCCTGATGGTCGGGACGGAGTCCAAATCCAGGTCCTCTTCGTCTCGAAGTGCGAAACTAGTAGGGCGGGAGGATACCAGGTTGGTGCCAGAGCTACCGATTCGAGTAGAGGATGAGGCCGTACGCAACAATGAGGTTGAACGCGGAGTCGAAGTCAAACGGGGAGAGGTCGTCGTGCTAGTAGGGGCAGCTTGGTGATTAGGTCGACGAGCATAGGGTGAGACCTTGGGGGTTGCAGGAGGTAGGGTAGGGTAACGAGGCATAGTTCTAATGAGATAATCCGTTGGTCTGGAAAATGATGAGAAGAAGCACGGAACAAAGGGAAATTTAAGAGCAAGGATCAATAATCGAACGTAATCAAGGAATTTGAGGAATAGCGAGGAGGTAGGAGGATATTTGAGCTCACCTGAAGTCCAATGTCCACTCGAGGGCTCCGAGATTTTTCATTGCATCGGAATTGACCCACGTCAGCGCCGGTAGCCAGAGCTCGAGGTGGCCATCGTGCTGAGCCATAGGTGGGGCCAAAGAGAGGGTAGATCGATTGAGAAATTGAAACTTGAAGCCACACCGTTCTGGATGGTCATTCACGACCCAAATTGCTACCTGTTAAGCCTTCCAGAAGTTGGTCGAGTTGATGTCAAAGAGGTGGGCTTGTTCGAAAAGGAGATGTTGTTTGGAGAAAGGGTTCATTGGAATCCCATTAGGATATCATATCGGATATCCTAGTCCACCTTGTTTGGATGAGGTACTCATCCAAACAAGGTGCGTGCTTGTTCTGGTTTAGTGTGAGTATGGGGCGCAGAGGAGGGGGCGCACTTGAGTATTACATACTCATACATTCCCAGATGTGAGTTACACATCTGGGCTGTACAACTCAGTAAACAAAAATTGAGGAATCGGGTACTCAGCCACGGGGCGAAAACGATGGAAAGTGGGTGTGAGATGGGTACACTCATACTCACACCTGCATCCCTGGTGGTGGTAAGGGGGAACTCCCGTAGTCAGCCGTAGTGGCTACGGGTTTCGTCGCGGGCCCCGCAACGTGATTGGCCTGTGATCGTAATCAGGACCGTCACCGGTTTCCTTAACCTGGCATCGCGGTACGGAGGTACCGTAGTGCCCAGAGCCTGAAATCGGTACGGAGCGGGCCGTAGCGGAACGTACCGCTGACCGTAGTCATTGCGGTGAGGTCCGAGCGTTGCCCACAGTCAATAATCATATGACTAGTGGAAAATTACCCAGACCACCGCAACATCCACCCACTTGTTGAGCATGTAAGCTCCAAAAATCAAAGGTTGTTGATCCTTTCACTCTCATCAATCTCTTCTTCCCCTTGTGGATATCAGTAGTGTTAGATATTTTCTTTTGAAACAACTTTCAAGCTTGCTGCTGACTTAACTCTTTGATTTTATTCAAAACCTTCAATGTACATACCATCATGATGTCCACATGCTGTCTCAATCACCCAAACAATCATGAACATTGTGATCATCTTCATGAATAAAAATCTACCTATCTTTCTGTGAAGTGTAGGCCTTGTTCTCACCAATTGAACCAAATGTACATGCACCCACCATAACTATTTCATTTATCATATCATTACTGAGATTCTTGTAACTAGACTTATGAACAGGATGGTTTCCTTTTGATACATAATAAAGCTCTTTAACTAAACTCAATCCAAACGCAAACCATAGATATGTACATCATTTACCAGGAATAAATCTACCAAATGCTCCTGGGGTTGTATTTCAAGCTAAACTTCCCATAGGATCTAAAATGTACACCAAATTTGTTAGTTCTCTTACCTACCAAGATTCTAGAAAGGTAGAAAAAACCACATACCCCATGGTGGTAAGACGCTTGGTTCTGGATCATCATAAATTTGTCGAAGTGAATCAGGAATAAAAGATTTATGTAACACGATTTGATAAACATATTCATCAAACCAAGCATCAGTAATGACAAAATAAGCACAATCACAGGCAGTGTCACTCCAAGTGTTCTCGAACTTGTATCGTACAGGTTTACCTTGTTCATCAAGATGGACGGCAGTGATGACCTACAAGAGTCAAAGATTATATGAGATAAAGCCTATGAGATGGAAGAGCTGAAATAGGAGAAAGATACAAACCATCGCGTGAGTCATGGCACTATCAACCATCTGAAGTCTCTCAGATTTCGATAAATGAGACATCACCCCAAAAGCAGCCTCGTAATCTATTGCGTTCCAAAGCAGATACGTTCAGGATTAGTTTGACACGAAATAAACACATGTGAATATAGAGGTGAATTCACTGATGAGCTCAGTGTCCATGATCCCATGAGACAGATTTGACATCTTTCCCACATCACAACCACACCAAACTGCTATATCAGCTTGGATCATCTTAATCACTAAGCTCTTCAATACATCACTGAACCCAAACAAACTTCCGTTAGAATGAAGCATGAAGAGAGATGGATCAAGGATCAAAACCATGGGAGATTTGGTACTAACGTGCTAGTATTGATGTATCTTATTGGACGACCACCCCAAACGTTTCCAATTCGATCAACAGTGTATGACTTGTTGAACGGATTTCTAGGGTCATTGATCAAGCTGATGTATTCAGATGGCTATAACATAAGATACCAATTGCTCATCAGGTACAAAGAATCGGCGTAGGAAATGAATATCTAGTGCATACCTGAAATTCAGCACAATGCTGATTGTAGAAATCCAAAGGAGTAGATACGAGGCTACGAGGCTTATCTGAATTGTCAAGGTAATCCCATCGGAAAGCCTCACTTGGAGGCGGAGGAGATCCTAAAGCAATAGCGAGGCAGCGATATACTTGGGCCATCTATTGATAAAAATTCAGTTTCAGTGGGGCAAAGACGAAATGGAATACATGATTGAATCACGATTGGATACGTACCATGGCTTTCTTAGCTTTGCGTGCAGCTCTCGCTCCAGGAAGTGTAGCCGATTTGGAGTCTTGACCAAGATTATTTATTGCACGAGCCTTGGCACTATTGTAAATTTGACGCAGTTCAACAGCTTGATTACGAAGTTTAGAATTGAGGAAAGTCTTGATTTCCTCCGAGTTGGAAGAATTGTAAGATTCATCATATACCGATTTGGGTACTAGGCCATACTTTTCGATCAATCCCACGACCGTGTCCCATTGTCCTATTCATTAATAGAAACAAGTTAGAATCGAAGTGAGGTGAAAGGTAGTATGAAGACTGACCTCCATCACCCAGAGGAGAGCGAGAGAGATGAGAGATGATGCGAGCGTCGATTGGATCTTCAACAAGCTGCAAGAGAAATTCAATTCGAAACGATCGCAACAATAAAAAGCGAGATAAATAGTAGAACTCACATCGATCATATTCTCAAGATAGAGATTCGATTTTTCTAATAACATTGAAAATAAAAGATAGTTTTGACTTAACTTAAAATCACCTGGATTCAAGCAAACTTGTCAATTGCATGCGATACAACTAATTGAGAAATCTCAGTTTACCTAGATTAAACTTCTTGATTATACCCCTACAAACCATGTTGGCGATAGCAAAGAGCCAGCATCTTCCTGAAGAGTGTTGATTGATAAATGTGGTCCTGTGAAGTGGAGATAAAGGTTAAATCATCACACAGAATCTACGAAAAACAAATGAATTCCACACTCACGGTGGTTCCGTCAAAGCATGCGAAAACACTCGTTTATCTGCTCTGATAGCTTTTCTATTTAGAAGAGCTGACGGTATATGTTGTTGGCTGAGCAAAGTACTAGCTAATTGTGCTTTGTCATCTTTCTCAAAGTTGCTTCGCCAATCAGTGAAATTGTCTTGGCTGATAGTTTTCTCGGTTTTTGCACGAGATTCTTTATTTTTTCTTGATGACTCTTGTCTTTCTTTTTTCTTGAACAAAACCTTTTCTTGTTCTTCTGGTGTGAGTGCAAAAAATTTATTCATACCTCGCCGACATTCCTCTTTCTCACCACGTCTTCTTCTACATGACGCACACGGACAAAGTTTACGACATTTTACACACAACATCTTTCCACCTGGTTCAAATTTGAAGATGGGTGGCCGAAGTTCGAGATGATCCTTGTAGACTTCCCTGGTCACCAAACACGTAATACATACTCGAACAACGCAGTTAGGATCTTGTGATTGATCGCAGATCATCTTTGGTCGGCCGGTTTTCACTCGACACTGATGGCAAGTGGAATATTCGTATTCCCCAAACTCGTTAGGTTCACGTGCGGGCATCTTCTTGGGTATCCTGTAAACTATCTTTGAAGGCCCAGAAGTAGGTGAAGGGAACGGCTTGGAAGGCTCGCAAGTTTCAGGTCCCAGTCGTTTTGCCCTTGGTTGCTCATCGCGTAGTTCATCTTCAGACTGTTGATCAAGATGAGTTAGTGAATCTGTATGAGATACATTCTAATGAGAAGTAGAAAGGTGACTTCTTAATCACCCTATCACGTACATTTTCATCAGATATGAATGAATCAAGCTCGTCAATCTCATCCGATTCTGAGTCATCCAGTCCACTATCGGGCAGATGATATGAATTGATGGGATTAAAAGTGACTCGTCCCGTATTGACCGGATTTCTCACTTTTGGTTCTAATCGCCTTGGACTTAATTCTTCTTCGGGCGGTTCATCTTCAGACTGTTCATCAACAGATTTAGTCATTTTGAATCTACTTTCTAGTATCCGAAGGATGAGAAGTGGATAAGCAAGTTGCTGATCGATCTAGCACGTACTTTGTCATCAGATATGAGTGTATCAAATTGATTATATTCATCCGAGTCTTCTGATCCAAAAGTACGTGAAGGATTCGAATTGGAAGCATCACGAGTTTCACGTCCCAAACTGACAGGATTTCTGACCTCTGGAATTTCTTCCTTTGGGCTGGGTGGATTTAGGGGTAGTGGATCTTCAGACTGTACATCAAGGTGATTAGATAAATATGAGTCGGCTAATTTCTCATTCTGCATAGAATAAGAAGCGGAGAAGGAAACTTCTGCCTCAATAGTCCCCGTAAGTCTCCCTGTCCTCGTTAGTATATTTGAAGCTTCTGGTAGCTCTCTAGGCTGAAGGTTTCTAGGTGCATCGTGTCTATCTGACCTACTGGCTGTAACATCATCTTGATCAAGTTCTAGCTGCCGTTGTATGCCATCATAGGTCCAAATTTCGTATTCCTGACTCAGGAGATAAGATTTCAGATGCAGAAAATTCATATTGAAGCATATTGTAGTGATCCCTTACCGTCCCCGCGCCAAGAATTCGGCGTGAAGCTGCGCTACGTTTGGGGCGCGGTGATCGCGGCTGTATCTAAAGGCGGCGTAGATCCAGTGATGAGTTCAAGTGATTCAACAAATATATGACTTGATCATCATTCAACATACTTGATCATCGGATATCCCTGGATCGAAATCAGATCCATCGGAGTCTTCTGGCTGCCTTCTTCTCTTCTTTGATAAAACTTCTAGTCGTTCTTTTGGAGTGAGTACATAGAATCCGTCGGTTGAACTGCCCAGATCTCGAGGATGCTCCGTCTTCCCATCACGTCTTCTTCTACATGACTCACATGGACACAGATTACGACATTTTACACATAACATCGTTCCACCTGGTACAAAATTAAAGATGGGCGGTCGGAGCTCAGGATAATCATCATAGACTGTTATCTTCATTAAACAGGTGATACAGACTCGAACATCGCAATTAGGATCTTGTGATTGATCACAGATCATAGGTTGCGTGGTGTTCACTCGACATTGATGACAGGTGAAATCTTCGTTTTTATCTAAATCACCAGGTTCACCCGGGGGAATATTGTTGGAAATCTTGTGAAGTGACTTTGAAGGTCCAGCGGTAGGCGAAGGACTCGACTTGGGAGATTCACAAGTTTCGTGCCCCACATTGACAGGACTCTTCACTGTCAGTCTTGATGGCTTTGGCCTTCGATTGATTGTGAGTGGTTCTTCTTCAGATTGTTCATCGAGATCATTTATCAAATTTGTTACATTCTCTTTCTGACTAGCATCACTATTATCAAACGTGAGTCCTTCATCACTCATCTTGGAAAGTGTCTGCCTTCTCGGTGAACTGTTTGGATATTCTGTTGGCACACCAGACGAGAGTTCTTCAACAAATCCATGTCGATTGGATCTAGTCTCTTCAAAATCATCGTGATCGAGTTGGGGCTGCCGATTTTGTTCAATATCATCAGCCAAATCTTGAATTTGGATTCCATTTTCCGGTACCACGATCTGGCGTGAAGCTCTGGAGCGATCTAAGTGCGGCGATCGTGGTTTGATCTGGATTTGCCGGCAATCAAGATGTTAGTTGAGTTGGTTCAACCAATCTATTACTTCATCATTCTACCCAACGTACTTCTTCATCAGATATGCATGGATCAAGTTCAGCTTGAGTGATGGTTTGGCTTCCCGTCCAGCCTTGAGTCTCCGAAGGTCCATGTCGAAATTCAAATAATGGAGATTCTTCTCGTTTGATTTGCTCAGGTGTCTCTTGTTTGAGACTTGATCGAGTTTTATTCCGATAATTCTCTTGCCATTCGGTATCAGAAACTTGCTCATCATCTGAGTCCACCACGATAAACTCTCTTAATTCTTCATCTGAATCAAAGTCGTCAGGTTTCAATTGAAGACTTGAATCCCCGGTATCGGTAGTGGTTTCTGGAACGTGGAGTGGGGATGAAAGATTTTCGATAGATGAAGTTGATGATGGGAAGGTGAGTTGGATATGCGGATTTGAAAAATTGGGATCAGTTGCAATGATCTCGGTGGATCCAAATGGCTTGAGCTGTGGAGAAGTAACTGTGTCATGGTTGATACTAACAAGCGAGTCAGCTGGTGATGGTGAATGATGTTTCTGATCATTCAAATGCAGATCTGACGCCTCATATCTTGCTGCCACTGACTGATGTGTATGTGAGGGACTTCTAATAGATGAAGCTGATGATGAGAGGATGGTTTCATTATGCGAATTTGAAGAATCAGGATCAGTTGCGATGATTTCAGTGGATTCGAATGGCTTGATCTGTGGAGAAGTAACTGTATCGCAGTTGATAATCGCAAGAGAGTTTTCATCTGACGCCTCGGATCTTGCTGTCAGTGACTGATGTGTAAATGAGGGATTTCTAATAGATGAAGTTGATGATGAGAGGATGGTTTCATTATGCGAATTTGAAGAATCAGGATCATTTGTAATGATTTCAGTGGATTCGAATGGCTTGAGCTGTGGAGAAATAACTGTGTCGCGGTTGATAGTCGCAAGAGAGTTTTCATCTGACGCCTCGGATCTTGCTGCCAGTGACTGATGTGTAAATGAAGGATTTCTAACAGATGAAGTTGATGATGAGAAGATGGTTTCATTATGCGAATTTGAAGAATCAGGATCATTTGTAATGATTTCAGTGGATTCGAATGGCTTGATCTGTGGAGAAATAACTGTGTCGCAGTTGATAGTCACAAGAGAGTTTTCATCTGACGCCTCAGATCTTGCTGCCAGTGACTGATGTGTAAATGAGGGATTTCTAATAGATGAAGTTGATGATGAGACGATGGTTTCATTATGCGAATTTGAAGAATCAGGATCAGTTGCAATGATTGCAGTGGATTCGAATGGCTTGAGCTGTGGAGAAATAACTGTGTCGCGGTTGATAGTCACACGAGAGTCTTCATCTGACGCCTCAGATCTTGCTGCCAGTGACTGATGTGTAAAGGAGGGATTTCTAATAGATGAAGCTGATGATGAGAGGATGGTTTCATTATGCGAATTTGAAGAATCAGGATCATTTGTAATGATTTCAGTGGATCCGAATGGCTTGTTTGGTGAAGAAAAAACTCTGTCGGGGTTTCTAATCAGAAGAGAGTTTTCACATGAGTGAGCCGGTGATGGTGAATGAAGCTTCTGATCATCTCGCAAATCTGACGCCTCAGATCTTGTTGGTAGTGACTGATGTGGCGATAAAGGATTTCTGATAGTTGAAGTAAGTGATAAGAAGATAAGATGATCGGACGAATTTGAAGAATCAGGATCCGTTGAAATAATATCAGGGGATCCAGATGGCTTAAGCGGTGAAGAAAACCCTTTGTCAGGGTTTCTAGTCAGAAGAGAGTTTTCAGGCGAGTGAGATGGTGATGATGGATGATGGTTCTGATCATCTAGTGGTACATCTTCTACTGGCGGAGCCGCTTGAGATCCTGTCGGCAGTGACTCGTTGATCACTGAGCTATCCGTCGATGAAACATTTGCACCTGAATGAGGTCCTGAATGACCAGGAGATACTGATGCCTCTATGATGCCATCTGTCAAGATTACAGGCGAATCTATCATTGCATAAAACATATGCACAAGATAAATTTATCATTTTCAAGGATTATCAGAATGAATTCAAAAATAAAAGGATGGTGGATGTCGATAACAGACCTGATGGAACACTATCAAAACGATCCTCATTTGAAACCTTGATGGGATCTGATTGAGAGGTTTGACTTGACGGATCTTGAAGACAGTTACTTTGAACAGACAAATCTATCATTACAAAATATACATGAAGTAAATGCATCAGTTTCAAGAATAACAAGAATGAATTGAAAAACGAAAAAGACAGTGTAGATAAGTGAATGTCAGTTACTAACCTGAAGGATCTCTATCAGAACATTGCTCATTTGAAACAGCTGGAGGACCGGATTGAGATGTTTGACTTGACGTAACTTGCAGAGCATTACTTGAGCTTTTTGAGGAATGATAATTTGAGTTGTAATGTGGATGCCGTGGTATCAAAACTCCAAGAAATTTCGATGAAGTGATCGATGATGATGACGATGGGATCCTAGATGGACGGATAACAGTTGATTCGTCTGTGGATATCCCAAAGTTGAATGTCAATACATGATAATAATCCCTTCAGATTGAGAAAGGCAAGAGAATGATCGATGTGAAGAATGGATGTATGATAGTGATGGCCATGAATCTGATGCCGATACTGAACACAGCTGAACACACGATTCGCTCAAATATTCTTAACTCACTTTTTCCTTTTCCCTTGCCGATCCGCGCGCTCCTCAACTTTGAGCGAGCATCGTTGTCTTGTGAAAGAATGACGGACTGATCAAGAATAGGCTTGCGAGGTCGTGCCGAAGCTAAGGGAGGATTGAGACCGGCCATCGTGAACTACTTGTTTTAGGAGTCGAGTTATATTGTGTCTTGAAGAAACAGAAAAGGATTTGTATCACAATGAGACCCCAATCAATCTACATGAAGGAGTTGGTCATCGCGAGAGATTTGGACATCAGCAAGAGTAGTTCCGACTAATTTTCACTATCAAAAGCCATTGTATGCGCACCTGGTCAGTGATTATTTTTCCCTTTCATTGGACTATTTTCAGATCTTCATATGTTTATGTCAGGCCTTTGAGTAATGAGCCCACAGGCCAGAACGATTCAACCTCACCTAATGAACTCCTTTCATCGGGACCATGGGGAGTATGAGATGAGCCAGCGAGGATATCCCAAAGGATGCCCTAGACATCAAACATCAAGCACTGAGTACTGCGAGCTCATAAACAAACAAGGTCAACTGTGCCCTCAGCACTGGCTATTTCTTGACGTGATCTAATTGTGGCACAATCGAAGTTGAAAGCAGTGCAACATTGATCGATCCAGCATTCATTTTGGGACATCAACAGATCATAAGAGTATACGTGGGCCAAGAGGTGAGGTGGTCCAACAAAACATCAAATAACTCACTTTGGAGAGATTACGATCAAGGCTTGAGGGGATGGTACGTACTACAAAATGCTGGGAGCGCAATCAAATTAACCTTTCTTTTGGAAAAGCTCCGATTCATTTTCTTACACTTCGTTTCAATTCATCACAATCAAATACGTTTATGAGGATGAAATACTGATTTCCTTGATGTGCTCTTGAAGTATACATGTCAGCCCGAGTCAGTCAATCAAGAAATGTAGAAATGGTCATCTTTGATCAATCATGTTCCATTTCGAATTCAAGACCAGTCAAAAACATTCACATACGCACACAACGCTACTTACTCTTCTTGATCAAAACATAAAAGAACAAAACACAAATACAACTATCAATCTGAGATTTTCAAAAAAAGATAGTAAATACAAAAATCAAAATGCTTTGATCTTCTTTCAAGCTAAACTTCCCATAGGATCTAAGCATCCGAAAAGAAATCATTAGATGTCTTTCTTCCTGGTGTAAAAAAAAGGTGCAAAAAAGACGACATACCCCATGGTGGTAGGACGCTAGGTTCGGAATCTTCATAGATTTGCTTAAGAGAATCAGGAGTAAAAGATTTAGGTAAAACAATTTGATAAACATATTCATCAAACCAAGCATCAGTCATAACAAAGTAGCCATGATCACCAGCGGTATCACTCCAGCTATTCTCAACTTTGTATCGTACTGGTTTGCCTTGTTCGTCAAGATGAACGGCAGTGATGACCTAGAAAAGTAAAAGAATGTAATGAGATAAAGTCTTTGAAGTAAAAGAAGTATAACAGGAGCAGGATACAAACCATAGCATGGGTCATAGCGCTATCAACCATCTGAAGTCTCTCAGACTTTGATAAATTGGATTTCACCCCAAAAGCAGCCTCATAATCTGACATCAATACGCAAAAAAAATCAGCAAAGTTCAAACTCAGTTGTCCAAGAGAGAAGAACACAAAAAGATAGAGATGTAGGGAAGTTTACCCATAAGCTCAGTGTCCATGATACCATAGGACGAATTTGACATCTTGCCCACATCACAACCAAACCAAACTGGTTTATCAGCTTTGATCATCTTAATCACTAAGCTCTTCAATACATCACTGGACAAAAGGAGGAAATTTTAGTTTCAAACAAGTGTACACCATATACTTCAGGGAATGCTGATAGGAAACGAGATACTAACGTGCTAGTATTAACATATCTGATGGGACGACCACCCCAAACATTTCCAAGTCGTTCGACAGTGAATGACTTGTTGTAGGAGTTTCTGGGGTCATTAATCAAACTAATGTATTCGGATGCCTGCACAGATTATCGAATCCTCGTTAGGTGGTACAAAAAAGGGTGTAGAAAAGTATGTGAAGATTAAAGATATACCTGAAATCCAGCACAATGCTTATGATAGAAATCGAGAGGAGTAGAAACAAGACTGTGAGCCTTGCCTGACTTGTCGACGTAATCCCATCGGAAAGTTTCGGTTGGAGAAGGAGGAGATCCTAAAGCAATTGCAAGGCAGCGGTAGACTTGGGCCATCTATTGATCAATCCAGGTAGAGTCAGACAAAGAGAAAACGAAATGAGTGATGGGATCATGATGGGATACATACCATAGTTTCCTTAGCCTGTCGAGCAGCGCGAATACCCGCAATGGCAGCCGAGTTAGAGTCTTGACCAAGATTATCCATAGCATGGGCCTTAGCATCGTTGTAAATTTCTCGTAGTTCAAGAGCTTGATCACGAAGCTTAGAGGTGAGGAAAGTATTGATTCCACTCGAGTTGGAGGAATTGTAAGATTCATCGTAGATGGACTTGGGTACCAAGCCATACTTCTCAACTAATCCAACCACCATATCCCATTGTCCTGTGAAGTGGTGGTATTGAGTTAATATTGGCACAAGATCAAATTAGCAAGTAAGTTTGGAGACTCACCTCCATCACCTAGGGGAGCGCTAGAGAGATGAGAAATGATACGAGCGTCGATTGGCTCTTCAACAAGCTGTAGAAGAAATTCAAATCAAAACGACGACAATGGGAGAAAGTGGAATAAGTAGTGGAACACACCTCAATTATGTTTTCTAAATAATAATTCGCCTTCTCGAGGTGGTCGTAAAAGAATAAGTAGCTTTGGGACAGCTCGAAATCGCCTGTAATCACAGATCGAGCAAGCTTATTAATAAGATGTGATACGGTCAATTGGGGGGTACTCGTTCACCTAAATTAAACTTCTTGACGATACCCATACGAACCACGTTACAGGTCGCAAAAAGCCAACAACGCCCTGAAGACTTTTGGTTGGTGACTGGGGTTCTGTGGTGTTCGAAGAAAAGTTCCAAATCACTTGATAAGGTCAATGAGGAAAACGAAACCAATTCCACACTCACGGTTGTACGGTCAAAGTATGGGAGAATATCTGTTTATCGGCACTGATAGCTTTTCTGTTAAGAAGAGCAGTCGGTATATGTTGTTTGCTGAGCAAGGTACTAGCCAATTGAGCCTTATCGTCTCGCTCAAAGCTGTTTTGCCAGCGAGTAAAGGCATCCAGGGTAACGTCAGACTGGGGGTGTGAGCTAGAAGTCACCATCAAGGGACTTCGACGAGCTGAGGCTGAGACGGTGAGACGAGAGAGTAAAGCAGCGGTCGAAGCAGCATCAGATCTTGCTTGTGGACAAGAATAATAAGCAGCTTTCTCGTCGTATGATTCGGCTACTTTTGAGGATTGAGAACCCATGATGAATTTGAACTTGGTGTCTTATCGATCGATGATATAAGGCTGATGAAGTGTTGATGGTTAAAGGTGATTGCTTTGGAATGAACGTTTAAAAGGCTGAGAGAGACCCCTGACGATTGAGCTGAATCGTCTGAGCCTTTAAATAGCTTGAAATCCACCCTGAAATGACATAACACCCTATGTATGTACGTCATAACTTATAAGTAAGCTTCACCGCCGATCGATCTTGACAACGCGGTGAACATATCCTCCAAATCAGCACACTTGTAACTTCTCCTATCTTCTTCATTCACAGCGGCCATGTTGAACAAGAAGTTCTTTCTTAGCTCAACCGTGCTTCAATCGACATTCACCTGAAATTGATGTGTTCCAAAGGAGGTTGAAATCGGAGGATAATTTGTCGAAATGTAGTTCATCCAACATATGCTGGTGCCTATGTATCAATTTTGCGACCCCTGAGCTCATCCACAGCGTGAATCTCTCGATTGAAGAGAAGAAATTTTGTTTCTTCCTGGTTTTCCAAGTTTATATCGGAATTGGTTTGCCCAGATAGACTTGCTATGTATTGGTAGAGCGGATCAAGTCGAAGAGATTTTAGAGATCCTCGATTGGTCAGTCTGAGATCGAGCTTACACATGAACATTCATTTGAAACAACTTGATTGAAAATTCGTGTTGAAGACCTATTGAAAGTGACATCCAGTTGATATCACAAAGGGAAATCAATGTTTCTTGCAAAAGTTACGATCAGAAATCCCGCCAGAATTCTTGGGATTGGACGCGTTATTAGGCTGAGCCATATGGTTTGTTGTGATATGAACTTGTGGTAAACAGTCACAAGGAAAGGGACAAGAAGGAGAAAATATGCCTGAAGTGCAGGTCGAGTATTGAAGGAAATGAGGGAAGGCAAACAGAGGGAAACAACAGGACCCAAGTTACTCCAAGTTTATCTCTCTATGAAATAAGATCACATACGTCATACTTCATAAGTTCACAGCAAGATCCCAAGACCTCTTTTACTTTGATTTTCGAGACCCAATTCAATATGCGTTCCGCGAGTCTTTCCACCCGATAGATCTGAATTCATCAATTAAGTATCTCATCTGGATAATAGCCATGAAGAAAACCCATCGACGTTGACATTCTGGGTTGGTCCTTTCTGCATGTCTTGATGAATCAAAGCGCTTGAAGAATAGCAGAGCCAAAAATCTAATCAGTGGAAAACTCGGGTGCTTAACACATTTCTTGCTCTGTTTCTTCTTGACTGCTCCTCAGCCTCCGGGCCAGCAAAAGGTTAAGACCCTTCAAGGCTAACTTCTGCCAAGACCATGCAAAAGTGTGATATGGGAAGCGGAGCATCCTATTCTCTAGCTTCATCATAAACAGACATTTATCAAATTGGGATAAATCAACTTATTAAGCTCTTCTTGACATACTTCCACACATGATCATAATGTACTTTCTTTCTCTTTGGATGAAGGCACCCAGTGAAGAAATCTCGACTCTTTCTCGTCGCTCATGTTACAATTACAGTTCAAGACCAGTCAATATATATATACAGCACGCTACTCTTCAAGTTGATAGAACCACAAGAACACAAATACAACTACATATCAATCCCAATCTGTTCAGGGAAAACTGAGCAGATGTAAAAATCAACAGTCTTTGGTTGTCTTTCGAGCTTAACTCATAGCATCTAAAAATTTGTATCAAACTCGTCAGTTCTTTTTCTACCTGATACTCCATAAACATGAAAGCAAAAGTACATACCCCATGGTGGTAAGACGCTAGGCTCTGAATTGTCATAGACTTGTCTGAGCGAATCCGAAATAAAAGACTTGGGTAAAACGGCTTCATAAACATATTCATCAAACCAAGCATCAGTCATGACAAAGTAGCCATGATCACCAGCGGTATCACTCCAACTATTCTCGACTTTGTATCGCACAGGTTTACCTTGTTCGTCAAGGTGGACACCAGTGATTACCTACAAGGAGATAAGAATGTCATGAGAAAAAAATTGGGCTAGAAGATATAGAGATGCACATAAACACGGACCATTGCATGAGTCGGGGCGCTATCACCCATTTGGAGTCTCTCGGATTTCGATAAACGAGGGGTCGTCCCAAACGCAGCTTCATAATCTATCATGTTTTGCACGGAAAAAAGTTCAGACTTAGCATCTCAAGAAAAAACAGATTGGAGGAAATGGTGCAAGGGGTAGAATTTGAAATCACCAAATAGTTCAGTGTCCATGATACCGTAAGTATTATTTGACATCTTGCCCACATCACAGCCAAACCAGACTGGTTTGTCAGCTTTGATCATGTCGATCACTAAGCTCTTCAATACATCACTAAACCAAGAAATATTCAGGACAAATCACGCAAAAATATATCAAAGGATCAAGATGAGATACTGACATGCTAGTGTTAAGAAACTTAACAGGACGACCACCCCAGACATTTCCAGATCGCTCAATCAGGTATGACTGGTCGTAAGGATTTCTGGGGTCATTGATCATGCTAATGTATTCAGATGCCTGGGCAGATTATCAAATCCTCGTCAGTTACAAATTCTGGGCATAAGAACTAAAAATGAAGCATACCTGAAATCCAGCACAATGCTTATGGTAGAAGTCCAGAGGAGTAGAAACCAGGCTGTGAGCCTTGCCTGACTTGTCGAGGTAATCCCATTTGAAACTCTCAGTCGGGGAAGGGGGAGAGCCTAAAGCAATGGCTAGGCAGCGGTAGATTTGGGACATCTGTAAATCGAGGGATAGTCAGACAAAGAGAGAACGAGAAGTGATTGTAGTGTAATCGGATATGTACCATAGTCTCCTTAGCCTGACGAGCAGCTCGAACTCCAGCAATGCTGGCTGAGTCAGAGTCTTGACCAAGATTATCAATAGCATGGGTCTTGGCATCGGTATAAATTTGACGAAGTTCAATAGCTTGGTCACGCAGTTTAGAATTGAGGAAATCGTTGATTCCATCCGAGTTGGAAGAGTTGTAAGATTCATCAAAGATTGACTTGGGTGCTAAGCCATACTTCTCAACCAGTCCTACGACCATATCCCATTGACCTATGAAATAGTATAATCAAGTCAGGATTATTACAATGATCGAGGAAGAGCGATGACTGACCTCCATCACCTAGAGGAGCGCTACAGAGAAGAGAGATAATCCGAGCGTCGATTGGCTCTTCCGCAAGCTGCGGGAGCAATTCGAATCAAAACGATGGCAATGATACATCATAGAAAGTCAAATAAGTATATAAGTTGAACCAACCTCAATGACGTTTTCAAGAAAATAATTAGACTTTTCGACGTGATCCCAGAAAGACAAGTAAGACTCGCTGAGTTCGAACTCGCCTGAAATCAAAGGTCGAGCAAAGTTTTCAATAAGGTGTGGCACGGACAATGAACATGTTGATATACCTAGATTAAACTTCTTGACAATACCCATGCGAACCACGTTACAGCCCGCGAAGAGCCAGCATCGTCCAGAAGCCTTTTGATTGGTGACTGGCGTTCTGTGATGTTCAAAGAATGGTTCAGCTCATTCTACGGACAACAGAATGAATCTCATGCTCACGGTTGTACAGTCAACGTATGGGAGAATATTTGTTTATCTGCACTGATAGCTTTTCTGCTAAGGAGAGCAGACGGTATGTGTTGTTTGCTGAGCAAAGTACTAGCCAATTGAGCCTTATCGTCTCGCTCGAAGCTATCTTGCCAGCGAGTAAAGGCATCCAGGGTGACCTCAGACTGAGGGTGTGAGCTAGTATTCACCATCAACGGACTTCGACGAGCTAAGGCTGAGACGGTGAGTAGAGGAGCGCTAGAGGCAGCATCAGATTTCGCCCGGGCAGCTTTCTCGTCACATGATTCGGCTACTTGTAAAGACTGAGAGACCATGGTGAAGGTGATCTTGGTAAGTAATTGATTGGTGATAAAACTTGATGAAGTGCTTTGAGGATGTATTTAATCGTTTGGAAGTGGAGCTTATAAAGCTGGGAAGGAGGCTCCTGATATTCAAAAGTCGCCAAACTTTCAATCGAGCTAAACTGCTCGAGACTTTAATACATTCTCGAGCGGTCGTAAGCTTCACCGCCGATCGATCTTGACGACGCGGTGACCATATCGTCCAGATAGGTCAAGACTTCAAAGTTCAAATCAGTCACACAAACGAAGCTTCTCCTATCTTCTTCATTCTCAACATTCAAATTTCACACGAAAAGCAAGTTCTACTCTTGCAAAATTGTTCAATCGAGATTCACCTGAAGATGATCTGCGCAAAAGGGGTTCAACATTCGAGAGTGTTCTTTCTACAATTTTCTTTCAGCACCTATGCTTACAAACATGAGACCCCTGTGCTATTCCTTCTCATCCCCGACCGCATCCTTCATCCTTCGATCACAGCGTAGAAGCTGTCGCGTTTTAAGGCATTGGGTCTTGGAGTTGGTCTACAAAGACACGATTTCTGCGAATTTGTAAAGCCAGTCAGTTGAAAAAGCTCTGCTCAATTGAAGATGATCGAGAGCCTATACATAAATAATTCACATCGCAATCAACCGATTCCCTTCGAAATCAGGCAAACCAACAACTAACATTAACGTGGCTATTGAGGAATGAACTTCAATCGACGTTACCGGTGGAAGCAGATGATCGATGCGCGTATGTCTGTTGGTAAAATCGTGATCATAAGAAAAGACGAATTATGTTCACTGGACGCGTTGTTATGCTGAGCCAAGATTTATCCAAGGTCAATATGTAAACAGCTATAAGGAGTTCAAATCAACATTGGAAGAGAAAAGTTACTCGCAGAAGGTTGAGTATCGGTAAGGGAATGAGTGAAGGAAAACAAGACCCAGATTCATCTCTTTGTAGATCTTATACATCGCCTACGTCATACTGCATAAGGTCAGGGCAATCATCAACGATGGGTTAGATAAGCCCAATCAAAAGGCCATCACACTTTTTAAATTCAACTCTTGGTGATCACCCTGGAATAATTGGTTTCTTCAATTTCAATGCTATCGAATGGATGGGTTCATTCAATTATCATAATCCCCAAATATCCCATGCCGTGTTCAAAACAAAAAACACCCTTTCAGACGCTATATCACATTTGAATGTGTCCATGACCCTCTCAAATCTAGCCAAAGAAGTTTTGGGAAAATGTTGCAACGACCCAAAGAGGAAGTAAGATAAAGAAGGAGATCCAAACACCTTTAGAACACAGAAGTATCATAGATCGCCTCAGGGATTGTTCTAAATTGATCCAAGAAACGTATGAGCTGGTTACACCACATCGTCCAAAGGGTCCATGGAATGAAAGTGTTCAACGCGATATTGGTCATCATGGGTGTTCTATAAAAGGATTTGACGTTGGTCAACTTGAGCCCCGGCGTCAAGATCCTTCAAAAGTACGGATCAAGGAAGCCTGTTTGCCAGATACCTTGTTTGGATCAGCATCTTTAAACTTGATACATTTCACTCGTTAAAAAAGCTTTCTTCGCTCATTTTTACCTTCTTTGAGTCTTCTGCCTTTGAAACAAATATTCCTTCTTTCAATTGTCATATAATTCTTTCATCATGTCACTTCCCACCCCCAATTCTTTCACCCAGCCTTGTCCTAGGCGTGGAGCCCCACCTCAGACTTCATCATCAGCCACGCGACTAAATAAGAACTTGAATTCCATCAAGAAAGCTCCTACCATGCTGCCTTCACGTAGAAAATTTCCATCTCGACAGTTCAAAACCATCAACATCACCAAAACTAGCGCACAACCCGGTCTCACAGCTACTAGCAAGCACACTTATCGACCTTCACGGAAACGTCAAATCGTACTCCTTGCAAGTACTTCTATGATTCCAACACCTATTCCACCAGGTTCTCGATTCCCATCCGTGCAAAGGGCCAACAAGGTGATCCTTGCGAATTTTCCTCGTGATTTCTGGAATCATTCTACTTACATTATCCTTTTTGGGTTGTGGTTAGCTGTATTCCAAGGCCTCTTTGATCAATGCAGAGAGTGAGACTTCTCCGACTACTCTGGCTTAAATGTTCTATTGACGCTACCTGCTCTTTGCACAACCCCGTTAGAAGGTGAGTCACATTTCCTCTTCCTTTTTCGTTCGGATTATATATACATGTATGAATATATTGATTCTTTTTGTCTTGTAAGCAGTCATCTTCAGGAATTAATGCAAAAGCTTCTAGCTTGGACTCATATTACCGAAATGTGTAGTTTTTCCAATCTAAATTATACTGGAGAAATCCTCATCAAACTTTTATCGCCAATACGGCTCGTAATCATGATATGATTGCCGTGATTGATTGAATGCGTGCCAACACCTTGACTATCTATACTCCGCAATTCTTTATGTCTACTGGTCATCATCTTTTTTGGATTTGTTGTCTTCCCCCTCCCCCTGATTCTTTTCTAACTCCTATATCTACCAAATACTTTTGATAGGACTTTGGTCATATTCACTGAAAGACTCAAAGTGTCCCATGTATTTCAAGTTTTGGGCGCCAAGGTGTAAACTTCTTTGATTTTTTTATTTCAGGAATTCTAGAAGTGTTGCCAACGAATTTTATCAAGTTTCTTGACAGGGTTTTCCTGTTTGTATATACGTGGCTACTTGTACCCTCAATGCTTTTTGGAAACAATTTAAAAAAAATGAATTTGAATATAATGACTCCTTGAGCTGTTAGCTTAATTATTTGATCTTCTCAGTCTGTGAATATTGATCAGAAATCTCTCTCCCCTTGATATAGAAAGACTTGCTTCATTAAAAAGACTACGTGCGTACATATCAACTTACTTTTTCAACCAGAGATTTGAATGGTTTACTTGACAAACAAGAGACAAACTATGTATATATCTGTTGCTTCCCAAATCCTATATAACGGGTTTTTCCTCTGCATAAAGGCTTATAAATAAAAGACAACAAGGTACGATAGTCCTCACTCATTCTACAGATATACCCTTGCTACAACTAAATGACTGCTTTATTAGTCTTTAGTTTTTTAAACTAAGCTTCGAGCCCATGTCTGACAGGTTCGTTTTGATATAACCATGAACATCATTGTGGCACGCAGCTTAACAAAAGCGCCGCTACCCGCGGGAACCTCACCTGCGCTGTCGGTCTCGGAGGCTCAGCTTGATTCGGATGCCTAAAACATCAGTCACAGGCGTATCCCGAAGGGTTCAGGGTTCAGCGGCGATCAGTTTTTGATCCCCAACACCTCTTATATATCTTCAGACTTGTGTCTTCCCTTTGCCCCTTTGCCCCATCTTTCAGCGCATTAACTACCAATAATTTTCCTCCCACTTTTTTTCATCATGTCATCAATTTCGAAATCCTGGATTATCAATCTTACTATCTTATTCGCATTCCTCACCACTCTCGTCTGGGCTGAAATTTGTCAAGTTTGTATGTACGACGGAACGATTTATCGTGACTGGCGCGGAGAAATTGCAGCCCCCAAATTCTGCGATCAAAAAGCGACTGAGATGAGTATAATAAATCAAAATACTAATAAAGCGATGTGCACCTACATGAATTGGAATACAAATGTTAAAGATCAATACGGTCAAAAAACGTTTTGTCGAATCAAATGTGAGTTTCTAATTGAAATCGTGAAGCAAACTTAAATCTATCTTTTTCTCCTAACAAACCTTTTACCCTTCCGCACTTGTTAGGTGAGCGTCCAACTCATTGTATCGGGACAAAAAGTCGCATAAAAGATAAAGACGGAAACATGGTAGACCACCTCGCGTTCCTTGGGCGTATGGACATGCAGTGTAATGAATGGCCCGCAAAATAGAGTAAGTGATTTGATCATGTTTACGTAGGGCGAAATGTGAAAGAGGCTTGCTAATCCTACTTGTGATCTATAGAGCTTTCCCAAAACGTTCCCTGGATGATGAGCGCGCTCAAAGCTTGATAGGATGTCTTTGGAGAAATTTCAATGTCGTCAATTGAACTACGCACAAAACGTTTCACTAATAATATCAACTTTATGGCTAATTGTTCATTCTAAATAGAGAGTTTGACTATGCTGAGACTCTACTATCTGCCAATTATTTTCTTTCTCGTGTATTTCTCTATCTTTCTTTGTACTACTTTTCATCTTTGTATCTATATAACTCTCCCTTGTTCTTTGTTTCGCCTTGTGTAGACCCAATGGGTGAGATGCAGAGTATAACTCTTTCACGTTTAAAACTTTGAAGGTACCTTAGACAAGAATTCCGTACTGATCTTGATCACACCATCAAGCTTACGAAAAACATACCTAGGTGTTTTTTTGTTGCATGCTGAGAAAACTCTTTCCAAGTAGATCATATCTTGTCTTGTCTTTGATTGCTTGTTGGACAAAATTCTTGTCAAATAACCCACAAATATTTTTCAAAAATTATAAGCTTGATTTCATCCTCGAATCACAGATGAATTCAACTCATTGGAAACAAAAACAACAATCGATAAGAAAACTGCTGTGTAACTGTTGATGTGTGAAATTTGAATGCTTGAAAGATATACATATGTACGTTCCTTCCCATCACGGATCTTCTTTCCAAAACGCTTATAAATAAATGACCACAAGACACAAGAGTCTTAAGCCTGAATCTCCACTCATGTTGACAGTCGTTTCTTTTCAGGTAATCTTGTAGTAGTCTCTTATTTTTCCAGCTGAGCTTCGGACCCATTTTTGTCACCTTTTTTTTCGTAACCGTGAACGTGATCGTGGCACCTTCCTGAGCTCAACGTGGACGATGGCTTTTCTGAAACGACGTTCTGGATGCGCCGGGATCGTTACTCACAGGAGATATTCCGGAGGGTTCAGAGTTCAGAACCCGTGGCGGGGGTCTTTTCTTTTGTAACCAACACTTTTTGTTATGTATCTTCGAACTATTCCCCCTCCTGCTTCATCTCTTTTCCTCATCCGCTAACAAATTCACTCACAATACGTTCGTCAACAATCCTTTCACATCATGTCACCAATTTCGAAGTTCTTGATGATCAACCTTACCATCTTCTTCGCATTCCTCACCTCTCTCGGCTCGGCTGACCGTTGTGAAGTTTGTATGTACGATGGAACAATTTATCGTGATTATCACGGAGCAATTGCAGCCCCCAAATTCTGCAGAGAAAGAGCGTATATAATGACGAAAATGAACGAACAAACAGAACCTAGAGGAGCACTGTGTACCTACCTGAATTGGAATACACAAGTCAAAGATAAATACGGTCAAAAAACATTTTGTCGAATCCAATGTGAGTTCTAATTTGAATTGTGATCTAATTTTCCGATTTTACTTCTTTCCTGTTGACGAACGTTTTATACTTTCTACCCACTTTCTAGGTGAGCGTTCAACTGATTGTATCCCGGCAAGTCGTCAAATACCAGATAAAGACGGACAAGAAATAGAGCACCCTGCGTTTCTTGGGCGTAGGGATATGGCTTGTAATGAATGGCCCGCTAATTAGAGTGGGTTATTTGAAAAGCATTCTCATGGTGATCTGTAAAATAGGTTGGCTAATTCCTACTTGTGATCTGTAGACCTTTCTAAACTCCGACTGGATGATGAAGGCTCACTATAGGATTTTGTAAATTGCTGGGGATCAAGCTGGTTACTCCTTTCAAGTCGTTCTACTTGTGTTTCTCATCATGTCTGATCAGATCTCCTCAAGAAGTAAACAAGAATATGGATGCGGAAGATCAAGTTATCATGGTCCATAGTAGCACAATAAAACTGTTCACAATCACCTTTGTCCCAAAACGAAGGTCACAGATGAAGGTTTTTTTACCACTGAAGCTGTCTTGTGTGCAGTCACTGTTGTTACTTGTTTTGCCCTCTTTTCTTACTACCTTGTCTTCATTTTGTATCCAGTTTTCTCCTCTTCTTCAGTTTCCCTAATTGGATCCTAATAGTGCAGACGAAAATAGTAACTCTTCCTCATCTAAAAACTCTGAGGGTACTATAATAGGAATTGCCGCATTCCAAATCAAAAGCACATGTGAACAAATCAGTTTTTGCACAACACTGGCACTGCATCAACATCCAAGAAACCTGTCATACGTCTTATACCACGGAGTAATCAGAGTAATCTCTTGATCTCATTTTGGAGCTTGTTGTGAAAGATCTCGCTCTAGTCAGTTTGGCCCTTGACTATCTTCCCAAAAACTATAAACTTGTCTTTTTCATCAAAGTAAACAAAGAAACTTTAAGCCAACTACAGGTAAGTGCTAAGCTTAGAGAAGTAGATAGGTTCGTCATCCTTTTGAAACGTTCTTGAGTTGAATCACACGCAAAAGAAGAGGCATTTCTCAAACCAAAAAAGAAAAACGCCTAGCCGCCGCCACGAGAGATTCCATTCAGTTTACCCCTCAGGGTTCAGAACCCGTGGAGAACATCTTTTCGTATGTACATACCCAACACTTTGTCCTATACATATATGTTCGAGCCTGTTCCTCGCCTTCAACACATTGCACCATCTAAAAAATTGACTAACTTGAACAACCACTTTCCAAATCCTTTTTTTATCTTTACGATGTCACCAATTTATCAATTCTTGATGATCTACCTTACCATCTTCTTCACATTCCTCGCCACTCTCGCTTCGACCAAGACTTGTGAAGTTTGTATGTACGACGGAACAGTTTATCGTGACCCGAACGGAGGAATTGCAGCCCCGAATTTCTGTCAAGCAAAAGCCACTGAAATGACTCTTGCAAGTCAAAGGATCTCTAGTACAGACGGTGCATGTCATGATATGGGTTGGTATACACATTTTTCGGATTCACATGGTCAAAAAACTTATTGTAGATTCAGATGTGAGTTTGAGAAGATGATTGATCTTCTTTTTTCAAGTGTTTCTTCCTTATTGACAATTGATCCGATTCACTTGACTCACCTTCTGAATTTAGGTCAGCGTGATACTGATTGTATTGGGGAAAAAACTTCAATAAGAGATAGCTCTGGACGTAAAGTTCCACACAATGCGTTTCTTGGTCGTAGGGATATGGAATGTAATGAATGGCCCGGTAATTAGAGTAAGTTATCTCATGGTGATCTGTAAAGCAGGTTAGATAACCCTATCTATTATGATCTAGAGAATTTTTTTCAAACGTTTACTGGCTCATGATCGCTTCATGTAGCGTTTCAAGCAGCTTCTGATCTTGTTTTGTTAACAAATCTCTTCTGACTCATCAAGTTTGATAGTATTTAGAGAAAAATAAAATTGAAAATATTATAGAAATTTCAATCTAGTTAATTGGATCAAGCACAAAACATTTTGTTAATAACTATGTAGCTAATTGAACAATCTCAAAAACCTGACGCTGTAGCAACTCTACAATATTTCTAATTCTATGGCCATCGTCATTTTTCTCCTGTGTTTCATTGTATTCTTATGTTTGTATATACTTCTTTCTTATCAATTCTCCGTACCACGAGGCTCAACCTATGTAATTTGGCGAGATGCAGAGAGTAGCAGAGAGTAAATCATTGACTCACAAAACTTTGAGAGTACCTTTATCCCAATCTTGGTTGAGATCACTTCCACACAGTTGTACACACAAGAATTACGCAATGTCAATTCGAACCCAGCATGTCAAACAAGTCTTTGTGGAACACTGAAGTCTTCATAGACAAGAACTGATCTTCATCAAACATAAAAGCAAGTCAGAGTTCTACAAATATGGCAGACTACCATGCTCTACATGGGACTTGTATCAAGAAAGTCAAGTTTCATCCAGATTACCAAGTTTGTGAAATGGCGCGTGTGGTGCGGGCTGTATGCGGTTTGAGTGCACCTGATTTGATAGCTGCGAAGAGAAATCTACGGAAGCCGTGACGTGAAGTGACCGCCACAGTTTTTTCAAAACTTCGGTTTTCAGTTTTCGGTTTTCAGTTTTCAGATTTTCGACTTTTCAGTCTTTTTGATTTCCAAACATGCATTTGCCTCAAGCCCCTGCATTAATAAGACTACACTACGTTGCCCTTAGCAAAGACACTGTCATTTTTGTAGTCTAAAAGTGCCCCTTGCCTTGCACATTTGTGAGAAGTCTATGACGATGACCACATTTCTATTCAATTCAAAGACAATGGCGAATTGCTTCTTTTTCAAGAGCAACAAGTCCATGATGATGACATCCTGGTAAATGTTCAATCTCATCAGCTCCGTTGGTGATCAAGTCTACACAAAAACTATTCATATCAGTGGGAACGTGTCCAGCTGGTTAGGCGGTGTGAGTAAACTCAGAATTGATCGGGTTGTTTACGTTCAACGGTGAGATTATTGAATTGATTTTTTACGCGGTGAAAAATGTTGCTTTTCTTCCTCTCGAGGCTATTCGGTTCCAAAGTTTGAACCTACAAGATTGAGACTAATCATGTATATTAGCTTGATGATAGATTATATGAAAGTTTTACCCTGTTTTACCTCGCTTTTTTGCCTTTCTCAATCGCCTGTTTTCATGTTTATTGCAATGTCATTAATCTTGAGTCGGTGTATCTTGTTAAGGGTCTGCAACTAACAAGCTCGTCCTATGTTTGCTTGAATGGTTTGTGTCAGTATGGTTCCAAATACTCCTTTCTGGAAATACTTCTTTCTGATCTTCTTGGTGAAGATCAATAGTCTCATGGTCCTTATTGTCAAGATGAAGAGCTCAAAGAGTATGTGTTGATCACTATTAAATGACAAATTCACAACTTGGTTACATAGATCGTAGTATACACGAGGCTAGAGAATAAAGCATTCTCGAGTGATGACGACTCATCCTATGCTTTTTTTGCCAATGAACGTTTAAGTCAACAGACATACCGAAGGTGCTTAAGAAGTGAAAATGCACCTCCCATCTTTTACAATCAATATGAAGATCAAAGCTATGGTTCAGTTTCTCATTTGGTCTAAAAGAGAATGGAAACTGAACTCATCTGTGGAGGTTGTGGATGAGTTTGAGATATGAAAGCCAACGGGCTATAGATTTGAAGGAAGCCTTTCAGCTGAGGTGGTGATTGATGGCGTCAATAGTGTTCGAGATGTTCGATCGGGTCTTCCAATGAGTCGAAACAAACTTGATCTTTGAGGCGATTGAATAAGTTTGGGCTTCCGTAGGAGATCAGAAATTCAAAAAAGACTGAAAAGTCGAAAATCTGAAATCTGAAAACCAAAAACCGAAAACCGAAGTTTTGAAAAAACCGTGGCGGTCACTTCACGTCACGGCTTCCGTAGAAATCGGTAAAAGAAAGTTGAACTTAACTTGAAGTAACCAAAAGAAAGACTGAAGAAGATGAACATCCAACGAACCATCAAACCATTTCACTCCGCACTCAATCGAAACCACCACATCTCAAGTTTATCATCAAGACTTACCAACCCAAACCGATCGATCAATCTTTCTCAATCAAATCAAGTAAGTCTTCTGATCCTAAAACGATTTATAATTACACTTTACACAAAAAGTCAAATTATTAAATCTTATTCAGTTTTTCAGATATAGAATCTCATCAAGTTCAAGTACAAATCCCAACAAGATCTTCCAAAAAACCCTCACCACTTCATCCCAAACCAAACCCAACCTGTCCACACCAACACCAAACCAAACGGACCCAACCCCCAAAAAGAAATTAGACAAAAACATCATCTCATTAAGTTTATTTATTTTAACAGGATTAGGTTTACTAATTTATTTTAAAAATGAAAAAATCAAAGTAGAAGAAAGAAAAGCTGAAGAAACCAAACAAAAATCGATTGGAAAAGTTAAGGTTGGAGGTCCATTTGAGTTACTTAATGTTGGGAACGGTCAAAGGTTTAATCAAGATGATTTATTAGGAAAATTTAGTTTGATTTATGTAAGCGTTTTTTTTTTTCGTTCAACTTTTTTTTTCTTGTTGATCTTGTCTTTTCTAATTAATCGTTTTCTTTTTTTTGGGGGGTTTTGGGATTTGGTTTAGTTTGGGTTCACAAATTGTCCTGATATTTGTCCAGAAGAATTAGATAAGATGTGTGATGTTGTGAACCGAATAAGTAAATCCAACTCCGTCTCCCAAACCTCCCAAAAGAAAAAAAGACTTAACGAATTTGAATGATTTGAAAAATATAGATCAAGATCAATTCAAGGTACCAATCCAACCGATCTTTGTATCAGTAGATCCAAATCGAGACACACCAGAAGCGATCATTCAATACTTGAAAGACTTTCATTCGTCTATGATTGGTTTAACAGGGTCCTATGAATCGATCAAAAAGATGTGTAAAGTGTATCGAGTTTATTTTTCAACTCCACCTAATTTAAAACCAACAGATGATTACTTGGTAGATCATTCAATGTAAGTTCATTTCTTTTTTCCAAGTGATCCGGTGTTTGATGCTCACTTTTTTTTTTGGAATTGGTGGGTTGGTTTGGGAGTTTAGATTCTTTTATCTTATGGCTCCTAATGGAAACTTTGTAGATGCGTTTGGTAAGATCTTTAGTAAAGATGAAGTTTATACTAAAGTCAATAAGTATATGAATGAATGGTCAAATGGAAAACGGTTTGGAGAAGAAGAAGAGTAAACTTTTTCAATTGGTTATCCATTTACTTTTTGATCAAATTGAAAATGTAAAAAAAAGTCATCATACATTCTATTTTTATTTTAAATAACTTTTTGGAATGATCAATTTGGTTTGATTTGATTGAGTTTTTTGTTACTTTTGAAAGCTTTATACCCTTTGATTTTTTGATCCATCAGACAGATTATATTACCAACTCAACTTGTTTATAACCCATGAATGATTTGACAATGATCCAATGAATTTAGTTGATTTTGAGATTGAAAAGGTTCGTGATGAATTTAATAGGAATGATGTTGAGAGTTGAATTTGGTTGGTTGATGACTGAAGCAGTCTGAGGTTGGGTGAGTATGGTTATGAGTATGTGATTACATGTGTGAATGTGTATGTAGTGATACTCAAGACTGAGTAATCTTGTTTAAATTCAAATCGAGTTTAAACTGTTTGAATTTTTAAAATCACAATCAATCAACCCATCAACAACCACTTCATCCTTCATTTTCTGGTAAGTCATTCTCAATCTCTTTATCTTCTTCTTTACCATCATCCATCCCTTTACTACAATCCAACCCAACCAATCAACCAACCAATCAACCAATCCAATCAATCCAATCAATCCATCAATCTCCTGTTTGATTAATATAAATGGACTATTAAGATTGAACCTTTGGAATGTCTACAGATCAATCAAATACTTCAATCTCACCAACACATTCATATAGCTTTCTTGGAGTCTACATACCAATCTTTTCAAATACTATCAACTCTTATCAAAAAACTTCAATTCAACCATCTCAATCAGATCCTTCAATTCATCAATGTTCTGATCCTGTTTCATTAGGTTAGTCATCATTCTCAATTCTCTCTTCCATGATCACTCAAATTGATGATTTCTTTGGATTGTATGCGTTTAGATTCATCTATTATCTTCAAAGGTGATATCATAACCTCTGAACAATCAAGATCATCTTCTAAACCTCATTCAGGTTCAAATCATTCGTCTATCAATAGCTCAATGCTCAATCAGTTATTGCCATCCAGATTTCCGGCATCTCAGCCATCAGATTTACGTTCAGATCATCATTCTTCAAATCTACATCATCCATCTTCATCTTCAACTTACGCTCTTGAAAACCCTTTGGTGATTAGAAACCTCATCAGACGTTTCTCTCCACCTTTCAAACCATTTGGTTCTACTGAGATTCTTGAAACTGATCTTCATCATCCTGATCTACCATCATCAAGTTTATCTACTAGAAAACCTTCAATGTCACTTCACTTTCCAAAACCTGATCACGTGGCTTCGGCCAATCTATCACCTATCCCATCTTCATCTAAACGTCTTTCTCATCATCGTCTATCTTCCAATCATCATGATTCTATTTCAAAAAGGAATTCAGATGGAAAGCCACGAACAAGCACTTCATTGGAGAATCAATCATATCCTCAAGATGATGAAGATCAACCTAGATCTCGTCGTAATCCAAAAAGTTATCAATCTTCTCAACTATCCACTTTTATCATTGGATCAGACGAAGAACCAGCGATTCCTAAAGATTTTTATGATTGGCCAGAAGATTGGGATCAAACTCAAGCTAATCCAAAACAAGAGACATCCAAAAAGAAAATCAAACGACAGAAATCTCAAACTCTTGAATCTAATAAACCTAGACTTTCAAAAACTCAATCTACTACTACACTTGAAACAATACCTCAATCTGATCGTACTTTACAGAAAAGATCTCATCAAGAGAAAAGAAGAAGACCTTCACAAGACTCGGATGGATCTAATTTTGATCCACAAATCGATGATGAAAAAGTACGTGTTCGACTTGAAAACTTGTGAATCAGCTCAACTTATTTCTGGATCTTTTGTTCACTTCAGACTAAACCTCGATCACCACGACCCGATCGTAGTAGAAGCTCCCGTCAAAACATACCTACAAAGATGGTTAGTGATCATTGTATGCTCAACGTAGGCTTAATCTGAAACCTCATTTCATGACTTAGGAAAATGGAATCCAAGACCAGGATGATGAGAGTGTCGAACTTCATCACGACCATCACACAACCAGTAGATCAAATCGACAAGATTCACCTGGACAACTTCCATCAGGTGAACCAACAGCAGCTTCAACTAGTTCAGCAAGAAGGCCAACACTTTCTGGCACGAGTGATGAAGATGTTACATATCTTACTTCTAATTCTAGGCAGAACGAAAAACCGAATCATTCGAATTCCAACCATCATCTAGATGAACAAGACTCTGAAGATGAACCACCTAAAAAACAACCTAAACCAAAACGACCGAAAGCAGCCGTTGAGAAATCTCCTAAATTAGGAAACGATCCTCATGATCCTTCACCTACTGCTGGACCTTCAAAACCAGTTTATAGGATTCCTAATATCATACCAGCATGTGAACCTGACGATTTTGGTCAATACGAATCTTCTACCTGTCATCAGTGTCGAGTGAAGACTACGCGACCCAAGATGATCTGCGATCAATCACAAGATCCTAATTGTGTTGTTCGAGTTTGTATCACGTGTTTGATGACAAGGGAAGTCTATGACGATCATCCGGAACTTCGACCGCCTATATTCAAGTTTGTGCCAGGTGGGACGATGTTATGTGTAAAGTGTCGTAATCTATGTCCATGTGCTTCGTGTAGAAGAAGACGTGGTGAGAAGGAACAGTGTCGTAGAGGTTTAGGTGGTTCAACTAAAGGATTCTATGGACTCACACCGGAAGAAAGAGAACAAGCTTTAACGAAGAAGAAGGAAAAACAAGAATTGATTCGACAAAAGAAAGAATCTAGACCAGCAGTCGAAAAGAAAACACCAGTGGTTTGTAGAAGAGAAGCAGCAGCCATACGACATACTGGATTTGATGATGATATCGAACAAGAAAGATTACAACATTGGGCACCTTTACCTGTTTTTCCTCCATTACCACCAGCCAGAAAGAAGAAGAGGAAACGATTAGATGCTACCACACCTATTGATTGTAAAACGGGTGATTCGGTTAGTGAAAGTAGTTGTAGTGATACAGATACGAATGAAGAGAGTGATACAGATTCGATTTCGATTTCATCTGAACTTTCACGTGATTTTCATCCTGGGAATAATACGGTTCTGGATCCTACTACCTTTAAACTTTCACTCTCCTCATCACATTCACAAAGAAGATTATCAATTTCAAATCGATGGCGTTCTAATAATAATAACAATCATCGACAAGATCTTTCTTCTGAATCTCTTTATAGATCAGTGAAAAGGAAAAACAAAAACCATCGAGCCCCGATTGTTTGGATTAAAGGAGGAGCGATTGTACAAGCTAGAAAACCACCTACGAAAGAGTTTATGGATAAATTAGCTGAAGAACAAAAGTCTAGATCTTCTGGTGCTTCGACGGTGATGGATGAAGATGATGATTTACAAAATAGACTTCATCAACATGAGATTGAACTCTCAAATGAAACTGCGATCGGTAATCTTACGCTTGGTGATATAGATGTTCCAGCTGCTAGGTAAGAATTCGATCATTTGTGTTCTTCTTTCGGTTATACTGATATGATTTTTGATGGTTTTTTATAGTTTGCCTGTTCTGTTTGGAGGTATCGAAAAACCGATGACAGATGAGCAGATACCAAGTCCATTAGCATTTGTAGGAGATCCTTCTAAAGTAGATTGGTTACCTTCTTTTGAACCTACTGCCGAGTTATATGGACCATTAACACCCGACACTACTATGCAAGAAATCCAAGTTTTACCTAATCCAACTAATCTGAATGCATCATGTAATCCATTCAGATCACAAAGTACATTGAATCCAATCACAACTGACAATCACCCTAGATCTGATCTTCCGATGGCTAGTACTTCAACTTCACATCTACCTAACCCACAACTCATTCAAGCTTCATCACATCATAATACTGAGAATCCGATCAAACCTCATCCAGCTTCAAATCCTAATGGATTACATTGTTTTGAATCAGACACAACTTCATTTGATCATCAAGCTTATTTATCAAGTTTAACGAATGAAGAATTAAGAGATGTATTGAAACAAGGGAATTATGAGATGGCCAAACAAGGATTCTTACCACCTATGAATGAATCACATTCTAATTTGAATCTTAATCATCATCACCATCATCGTGGGGGGAATGGAGAAGAAGGAAATGATGAGTATGATCGGATCACAGGGATCTCACCTGAATTGATTTCAGCTTCGTTACCTAAGGAAAGCACGAGTAGGAGTTTGGAATCGGATTTGAAAGAAAAGAATCGAGTGGTAGAAGTCGAAGGAGAAGGAGGAGCATTGGGGTTGAATGAATTGAATGAAGAAGATCAACAGATCAGATTGATTGAAGCGGCTAATTGGGCAGCAGTTTGGGGAGCTACTGATGGGTTTGGTGGATTTAATTTAACGTCATCGAACCCATCGACTTCTAATTCTAATTCTAATTCTAATAATAATAATCTGAATTCGTCGAATCATTCTAATCATTCGAATAATTGGCAAATCGATGGGAAAGAAAAAGAAGTCTTTTTGAAAGCTTTTAGGAATAGTGTAGGAGATGAATGGTTAACTGATGTGATGTCTTTAGATTCGTTTTGAAACTAATCCCCCTCCGAAGAGAAAAAACAAGATTTTATTGGATGGAAACGAACATTGAAAAGAATAGATTGGAGGAATTGGTGTAGTGTAGTGTTGTGTGGAGAAATGAACACATCGTTTGGGGGTTTGGGGGTTTGCGGGGTTTGGATTTTGGATTTTTTTTTTGTGATTCGGTTTGTGATTTGTTTGTTTGGTATTCTTGGTAAAACTTTGGTATTTATTTTTTCATTTTTCTTCTCTTTTGGGATTTTCATAAATTGAGATTTTTTATAAATAAAATAGTATTAGTTTTTTATCTTTTTTTTATTTGATTTTGATTTTTTTTTTATTCTCACTCAATCTAGCTCATGTAGTTTTTCTTTATCTTTTGTTGACTTATAAAACTTTTTTTTTTAATTCGATTTTTTTTCCCTGATGGTTAATTGATGGTTTATATTATTTTAAGAAAAGTAAAATGAGGGTTTAATTTTGGATCTCTTATATTTATTTAATCAATGAATTGGTTTTTTGGGTTTTTTTTGCAAAACAAACTTGATGGATTTATATAGGGATTATAATTTTTTGGTTTTTGGTTTTGATGGTTTTTGGTCTTGATGGTTTTTGGTCTTGATGAATGGATCTTAAACAAAAGGTAGTGTTTTTTGGATTGATTTGTTAAGGTGGAATTTTGATTGTCATCATCATCATCATCATCATCATCATCAGAAATGTAAGAATAAATTGAATTTCTTTTTGGGTTTGAGACTTGAGTTATGAAGTTTTTATGGGGTTCTGGTTTTATTGTAATTTAATTTGATTTTTTCCCTTCAAAAAGTGGATTTTTTCTTTGAAAAGGGATTTTTTCTTTAAAAATGAAGAAGGGATTTTCTTTAAAAATTGAAGAGGGTATTTTCTCTTTTGGGTTGATGGAGGTAAGAAATTGGTAAACTTCTGGAAGGGTTTGTTTTGAATGTCATATTTTCATGAAGATGAATTGGATGATTTTTCTTGGTTATTTGGAATTTTTTATTCAAGGTTTGTGCAATGGGATTTTGGTTTTTGGGTTTTCAGGGGGGATGGGGTTTGGATATTTATGATTTTTGAAAAAAAAAATCAATTTCTGAAAAAAAAACTCAAGTTTATGATTCCTATATCTTATTCTGATTTGATGCATACTTATTTGGAATAGTTTTATGATGTTTATTCAAATTGACTTTTTTCAACAAGTGAGTATGTAAGTAAATACCAAATCAAAAATGAATCCTTTTTACTCAAGTTTCAACATCCCATTACTTAATAATTTCAATATCATAAAAGAGACCTTACGTACTTGAATGTTTTGACTGTCATATAAAAACATGAAACTTGAAACATTTTCCATTGCTTCATATGTGAACAAGGATGATGTGGATAACAGGGTTTGGATCTTTTCTTGCTCTGTGATTTGTTTTTTTATTTAGGGGATACAAAGTCAGGACTGGGAGTTTTTTTCCAGTTTCCCAGTTTCCCAAATACCGCCAAAAACGCAAACTGGGAAACTGGGAAAAAAATCCCAGTTTTAACTTTGTATCCCTAATTGATTACACTTGGCATTAAATCACATTCTTTATGACACTATGTTCTTTGTTAAATCATGTTCTTTACCAAATCACCTCCTGTAACAAATTGAGATTTTTATTCAATTCCACACTTGTTTGTATACAAACATAAAGGGGTTTTAACACATTAAGGAATCATGCTTATTCATTCTTCTGAGAGCTGGCAGTGGCTGACATGTCTGATAATCCAATATCCATCTCTCTGCTTGTGCCTGCAAGGGGCCGGTTATTAGATTAAGATCTTGGATTTGGTTTTTTTTTTTGAGAAATATGGTTTCTGGAAGGTTTCTGTTGTAAAATATCAGAATCAGGAATTTTTTGGGGACCTGACCAGAGTTGTGGGCTCAAAATGTTGGAATATCCAGTAGGTCAAGTTAACTCTGTGCTACACCTGACCACAAGTGGCACTGGGCCCAATTGTCAGGCATTTTATGAATTCTTTTGGTTTGGATCGAAAAAAAAAATCAGATTTACAAGGGTCATGTAGTGGTTCTCCACTGGTGAACCACATAACTTGGTGGTTCAGTTGGTACTCAATGTGTTGACCACTTCCAGCTGAGCTTATAATTGCTGCACTACAGGAGCATACCTGGGACCAACGTATAGCCCAACTGGTACCTTTGAATATTAAGTACGTACCTTAGGTGTATTAAGCCCATACCTTAAGAGACTTAAGTACCTAGCCTAAGCCCAGGCACAAATGTTGACAGCCTACTGGTAAAAAATTGACCAATGGCTTGGATGATCCCAAGGACATACATATTGATTAAATTGCTTCTTCTGATTATACCTGTCTAGTTATTAATCTAAGATTTTGTCATTGGGGCGGTGATTTTTGAACAATCAACATTTTGTTTTGCTGGTGTGGAGGTATTACACAGTAGACTTTATCTACTGCGCATCGGATGGCTCAATACACAGGGGCAAATATTGATGACTGCATAGGGGTGAGCAAAGGAATCTCAGAAGTTTCTCCAATGTAGTTACTAATTTCCTTTCAATTTCTATCTATCTTCTTTCCAGTTTTCTCCCTACTTGTCAGCTAATCACATGATCAACACAAACTGAGTGGGTAAACTAGGCCTTCCTCAGGCTTCATTAATTCCTTAGCAAAGAAACCTGAGGGACAGCTGGCCCATAGTGCACAATGACTTGTGAGCTGATTCTGATTACTCATCTGGGCTCAAAGAATGCTCATCCAAGATGGAAATGTTGTTAAGCCAAATTGGAGCAAAACAGGCTGATCACCTGAACATTACCAAGATTGTCAATTGATGGAATCTGAAAGAAATGGAATCTTTTTTGGGAGAATTTGGGAAAGTCTACTATGCTTACCTTTATGTGAGCTTCAATTTTGGGCCCTGTGATAGGAGCTTTCCTGGGCCCTATTTTATGACATGCACTGGATTATTATACAAAAGATTTGTGGTTGGTTACTTGTGATCAACAGAAGGAAATATGTAACAATTTGGACTTCTATTGCCATATAACTGTACTGATTTTGGATATCTTCCTTTATATTTTGGTTTACAGTGATGAAGACATCAGCTGTTTACCACTCATCTAAATTATTCTCATTGTATTTACTGTTTTGAAAATTCCAAGTTCTGCTTTACCACATTCAATGTTTACTCAATTTTGTGTCCCTTCCACCCTTTTTGTTCCCTAGTATTGTCTTTACAAATTTGTGTTAGTTTGAAAGTTATTTATTATGATTTTGTTTATTTTACATACTGTTCTTACAATTTTTAAGGGTTTTCTTTTATCCATTATTTTTAGTTATTTTATTGATATGTTCTTGCCAAGTGAACATTTTAAATTGAGGATCATTTTTTTGGTTTCTTTGTTGTTATGTTCCAGAAGGCAAATTTAATTATTTTTTATTCACTATTATTATGTTGCATCATCTTATCTTCTATTGTTATCATGGCATTTTTTCTTTGTTATTGTTGTGGCTTTTTTGCAATGTAGTTCCGCTACCACCCCGTAGGGTGTTTGTTGTCAGAAGAAGTTTATTATCCCTAGGTGTTCAGCCTAGGAATTTTCCCCAAAATGTTATTTGATTTCATTTGAGTAAACTTTATAAATTCCAGTAGTGAGTTTACTTATGCACATGCCCAAAATGTGATGTGATATTTCATAGGTTTTATTTCTTTTCATTCAAGAAAATCTTCATCTATAGTCTGACCGCAACACAGGGTAAAAGTCCTAACTTAACTAAGTCCCTCTGTGGCCCAGACACTTTTCCTTGCGAGCTCGGGTGTCTGGAGAGTCAGGTGGTGGGCGCGGTGCGTTTGGCGCGTCATATATTTCTCAAAACCGGGGGTGGCGCGCCCATACGCAAGACTTGGATGGTCTGAAGCGTAGGAGGTCTTCTTGGGCCTAATCTTGGGCTAGAGGAAGCCTATGAAATTGTAATTCTGGTCCTTTTAACTTTCAAGGCGGAGAAAGCCCTACAGATGAGCTCATCTGAGTTGGGAGACGCTTAAACTAGTTCTGGAACAAAAACTTTCAGTGATTCTTATCTTGAAAGTGTGGTCATACTGACTTGAAACAGCTTTTCTCACATCCCCATTTGTGTTTGAGCTTCATCACAGCCTTGATTGCTGTTTCTGTGAAGATTTTTCATGTTTTTAATGGTTTTTTGCTTCAAAGGCGCGCCCACACGCCCCTTGCTATTTGGGCGCGTCCCAAACAATGGAACTCTGCACCTGGGCACGCCCCTCTCTGCCAAATCCGCGCCCACCACCTGACTGGAGAGGGACTTATGACTTATTGGGCTTCCCTGGTGAGCCAGCAGGGGGTTCAAAATTCAAGTTTGGCTTGGAGGTTTTTTCAAACCACAAAAGCTTTCACTTCCTCTCAATCAAACCCCTTGCCCATTTGAACTGGAGCTACCTGTGCCCATTCTCATCAGATCTGTCTATTCAGATTTGACAAATCTCGCTCTGAGTTTTCTCAAGAAAGAGAGAAAGATTTTGAGATTTGTGGTTTGGTGACTGGATTTTGGAAACGAAATTTAAAAAGGACCTAAATTACTTCTCTTGCAATAGGATTAATAATTGAGCAGTGAACTTCGTTCAAAAACCGAAGTTGTTTGTCTAAATGTTCTGAAGATTTTGCTCTCCTCAGAGAATCTATAATGTATCAACTACAGAAGATACCAGGCTGTAGAAGAGCAGGGCCTTTTCGGGTCCCTGCTGGTACACCAAAAGTAGCTGATAAGTCCCAAGTCCCTCTCCAGGGCACCGAGCTCGCGAAGGTAAGAAAGCCCCTGCGAGTTTGGGACTTGTGTTAAGTTAGGTAAAAGTCGAGTAAATTGCCAAGGTCTTTGTTGAATTGGTTTTCCATTGGTTCAGTCTTGGTGTAACTGAGTATTTGTTGAGTATATTAAAGTTGAAAGGGAGGAGTGAGGATTACCTAAACTGGATTTCTAGAGCATGTATGATGAACATCTTAAGAAGGAAATGATATGGATTTTAGAGCGACAATTCCTTGTAACTCTTACTAAACTTTTCAGCGTAGACTTTCGAAAAAGGCAAGATCAGAAATCTCGTGTAAGTTCAGGTTGACTTTTATGGAGATGAGTCTTTGAAGAGCTTCCTTTTTGATCAGATTATGCGGTTCCGGACTTTATTGAATTTCCGAATTCCGGGTCGCAAGAGAATTTTTAGGGGGTGAGGCGGTGAAAGAATTGATATGTAGGGTGAATTGACTCAGGGGGTTTGAACCTAACCTCAGTATTTTAGTAGAGTTTGAAGATATGAATTTGAACTGGATTGGTTTAAATAGGATTAAGTAGTCAGACTCAGAAGTTAAACACGACCTCAGAAATTGAGTGAAGAATGATATGTGTTACTTAACGAATCGAATCGAATCGAAGGATATCATTAAATATTCATATCGAATATCACTTTGAGTGACTTGACTTTAGTTTACTTACTTTACACTTTAGTTATCTTACTTACTTGATACTTACTTACTGATTACTAAATACTTAGAGTCATGTCAAGACAGAATCAACTTAGAACAACTAACCATCAACATGAATTACCACCCATCAGAACATTAACCACCACTGCTACTACTACTACTACCACTACCACTTCACCTCAATCTAATCAAACTCAACTTTCTCATTCAAATCAATCTATCAACTTGGCAAACGATCCTCTCAGTCAAGATTATAAAGAAGTCGAAGCTCATCTAGCCAACAGTTTACCTGATTTCTTAGTCTCTGTATGACTTGACTTGCTCAATTTTCAAAGTATACTTCATCTCTTCTCTATCGTTGACGTACTTTCTCTTCTTGGTTTGATTATCAGTCTACATCAAATTCAGATGATTTATCTCGTAAACGAAAACTGGCTTCACTTGGTGCTTGGGACTTGAATCATTTCAATGCTAAACGTAAGTTCACTTTCGATTCGGTTCATTCTCCAGACCGACCTCTAACAAACTACTTTTTGATTTCCATAGGTATGTCGCCTACCCAACCAAATACTAATCATGGCTTTTCTAATCCATCTGGCACTACAACTGAGGTACGCTCTCTTCGAATCTCATAACTTCTTCAATCTTCTTGATCTCATGCACGCGATCTGACACGCATTTATACACAGCCCAATCAATTCTCAGAGCATAACTCAGAATCCACGTTTGATCATCATAATCTAACATCTCATCCCACTGCGGTAAACCCGTTACGATCTTCTACTGAACCTGTTCCTCAACATCATCTCTCCGAGACATCTTCACGTCCTCCTCAAGGACCAGACGCAGTGGCTTCACTTCTGACGGCTTATCTTAACAATCCAGTGAATCCGGTCATTGGTCAGAATACCCCTCTAAGTCGAATATCACCTCTGGCTCAAGTGGCTGCCTTTGGATCCAATGAAAACGTTCGACAAGCTGTCTTGTGTGGTTTAGCTCAATCTCAAACAAATGAAACTCCTTCTTGGGCTAAAGAACGACCTACTAAACTTGAAGGACCGTTTCTTTGTATACCTCAAAGTACAGAAGATCCGATTAAATCTAAACAAGTCCCATTGATCTATGGACCCGTTGATCCTAGTTTACTTGATCCTCAAACTGTCATTGCTGTTTATTATGCTTGTTATGCAAGTGATTCAACTACTACTTCTTCGGATTTTAAATTTGATTTAGAAGTACTTGATCCAGTTTTAGGTGGTACACCATTAGTTCCACCTTCTGCTTCGACTTCTGTTCCGGTTTCAGTGGTTCCTTCAACTCTCAACAACTCAACACCACCAGTTAAAACTAAAAATCCTCATACTCATAAACGAAATAGTGTACCTTCTATGAGTAGAGAACAAATTATTGAAGAAGCTGCTTCTGGTGTGGATCCTTTCAAGGTTCCTGAGGTGGATATGTCTGCAAGGAAACGAGCGCCTAGGAAATGTGGAGTGTGTGGGCAATATTATTGTAAAGGTATATCTCTTCTAGTCAATCTGATCTTTAAGAATTTGTTGTCTAATTTGAACATGTTTTGATTTGTTAAATTCTTAGGAAGAGGTAATCGAACTCTTTGTCCTTCTTATATTCAAGGAAGAGATGATTCACCTACACAACCACCTAGGTATGATCGACTTGGAGAAAACGAATCATCACCACATCTACCAGCAATTCCAATGGCAGTGAATATCACCAGTTCAAGCCATCGAACTAATCATTCACCTCATTTGTTAGGTGATAGGTATAATAATGATATAAGAGTCAATGATACTATGAATCATGAATCACCTATAACTCATCATATCGAAGGAAGATCAGGAGGAACCTCTTCATCTATCTCTGCACCACCTGCTTGGTCCTTTATGAATTCAGATAAACCTATGAGTTCGATTCAACAAGTTGATGATGGAAATCGAAATGAATCAAAAGATGAAGGTTTAGTAGAAGAATCATCTAATAGACGACATTCTTCTTCTGGTACTGGTACGGGTGGTGTTGGATTACCATCCACATCGTCTTCTGAAAATGTTAGAAAAAGAGGTCCTAGACGTTGTGCTGTTTGTCAATTGATGAATTGTCCTGGAAATGGAAATCGGTAAGTGATTTAAATGGGTTTGATCTTGTTTTCTTTTCAGTCATGATCAAAGAATTGATGGAGTTTTGGGGGGTTTTGGTTTGTTTTTGTAGAAAACTTTGTAGTAATCGTCCAAATCAATCTTTGAATGATGGAGTGGTCGGTTCTACAAATAGTCCTGATTGTAAATTCGAACCTCAACAAGTTTAATTCGATTTGGGGTTTTGTTTTGACTTTTTCTTTTGGAAAGAGGATCATTGGAGACCTTTTCCATTATCAAAACCGAAACCAAAAGAAATGACAAGTTTGATTGGGTTTGGCTTTCTTTCTTCGTGTATTTCAATATATGATGAAGATGATGGGTCTCTGTGTTACCTTATTTTTTCTTTCTCGACTTTTTTCTTTTGTGGATTCTTTTCTTCTTGTTGTTTTTTTTTTTCATAAAAGAAAAGGAAGAAGTTTGTTTCTTTCTTTGGAATTTTCTTTTCATCATATTTGTTATTTTTGTTATCTTTGTTTGTTTTTGTTTGTTTGTTTGTTTGTAAGGAAGAAGACGAGATGGAAACTTTTTCTAATTTATCTGTGACTATTTTTGGAAAACAAAAAAACAAAGTTTCAAAGTAGAAAAATGAAGGAAGATTTTGTTATGTATGTGGATTGTGAGTTATTAATTATTAAAGATTTGGAATTTTGTAATGGTTGTGAAGGTTCTTTGAAATTTGATGATTACTGCTTTGAATTTTTTTGAAAGATTTCATGATGGAATGCAGAGTTTGTTGGTGAAAAAACATGTGGGAGTGAAAGAAGTTAGATTGGTTGTTTGAAGGTATGTGAAGAAAACTAAAAGTTTATGGGTCTTGATATTACTCCTGAATGTTTGAAAAGTTGATTTGTATAAAGGAGGTCTTTTGAGCCTCTTTGTTTCAGCAGAGGAGACGTGGATTGCCAGTGGCAGTGTTTTGTTTGAATTGACAGTGACACAGCCATTTACACTAATATGTAGGATGGTTTTAAGGAGGTGGAAGAGGTGTACCGTGATGAAATGGTACCGTCTGTTGATTTAAGGTGGTTTAAATTAAGTGACTTCGATCGTAAGCCAGACAGAGATCTAGTTACAGTCATCAAATCGATCGAAATCAAATCAGCTCAACTCAAACCTACTCAACTCAACTCAACTCAAACCTACTCAAGACAAGATGCCATCGAACCCTCATTATGATTTCTTAGTAAGTTGATCCTTTTGATTTCTTTTTTAACTATTTATAATGGGTTTTTCCTTTTTCAAAACATCGTTTAACTTTATTATAAACTTATCATATGCTTTGATATGGTTTTATAGATCAAATTACTTTTGATTGGAGATTCTGGTAAGTTTAAAGAATTTAATGAAATCTTATCAAAACCCAAAAAACGTTAATCAATGAATTCTTTTTCTTGATCTCTTTTGGATTTCTTCTTCTTTGTTCGTTATTATATTATATAGGTGTTGGAAAATCTTGTTTATTACTTCGGTTTTGTGATGATGCTTATACACCTAGTTTTATTACTACAATTGGAATTGGTAAGATTTATAAAACCTTATCATTTAACCCTTATATGATTTCAATTTTCTTAATTTATGATTTGTTTTTTTTTCTAGATTTTAAAATTCGTACAATCGAACTTGATGGCAAACGTATCAAATTACAAATCGTAAGTGATCCTTTTACTTTGCTTAATGATGATGATCTAATTTAACATCTTGGGTTTCTTTGGTTATCTTTCTTTCTTTTCTGCTTAGTGGGATACAGCAGGTCAAGAAAGGTTTAGAACTATTACGACTGCTTATTATAGAGGAGCGATGGGAATTCTATTGGTTTATGATGTAACAGATGATAAATCGTTTACTAGTTTGTGGAATCTCTTCTAAGTCAACATACAGAAGAGTGATTTTTTTGATTGATGGTGGTTTGGTTTGGTTTGGGTTAGATATTCGTACTTGGCATTCTAATATCGATCAACATGCATCTGAAGGAGTTAATAAGATTTTGTTAGGTAACAAATGTGATTCGACAGATAAAAAGGTTAAGAATGGTTTCTTTTCTCTCTCTCTCTCTTTCGACTTCCAACTGATTCTTGGGTTAGTTTGAATTATTTTTTGATTGATGTTTTTTTTTGCTTTTTTTTTCTATTTGGAAATTTGATCTTATTATAGGTTATCTCGGAAGAACAAGGACGTGAATTAGCTACTGAACTTGGGATTTCATTTATGGAAACATCAGCTAAAACAAACACGAACGTTGAAGAAGCCTTCTTTTCATTAGCTAGGTAATTAATTTTTGATCGAGTCATGATTACATTTCTCTATAATTTTCTTTAAATAATTTATTGATGTTTTTTTTTGGCTTGTGGGGAATTTTGGTTTGGAAAAATATAGAGATATTAAAACTCGACTGATTGATACGGCTGGACCTGATCAGTCTTCTGGTTCTAATCCTAATGGATCTTCAATTACTGTTAATCAATCTGGTACTGCAGGAGGTAAAACTGGTTGTTGTTAGGGAAAACGCTGAAAAAACAATTGAATCTGAATTTCATTTGCTTGCTTTCAAACTTAATTTTCAAAGTTGTTAAATCTACCTTCAAGATGATTTCTATTTTTTTAAAAAACTTTTTGTTATCTTTTTTTTTTCTTTAAGAAACTTACCTTTTTTTTTGTTATCGTTCTAAACTTTCTGTTTTTTTTTTCCTTTTCTTTTTTCATGACGCATCAATTTTGTATTTATTTGTGATTTCTTTTATTTTTATTTTGTTTTATCTTTTGATTTCTTTCTTTCTTCCTTTCAAATTCAATTGTTTGGTGTCAAAAAAAATATTATATACGTATTTTAGATGCGAGGTTATGATTTTTTTTGCTTGGTTTTAGTGACCTTTTTGGTGATCCTGAACTATGGTTTGGAAGTCACAGTTGAGTGTTGAAATCTTTGAGAAGGAAGAAAAACTTGATGAGATTTCATCTTCAGTCATCCTTGGTATGACCACCACCACCTCTTTTTTTCTCTTTTGGATGGCTTTTGAGGTGGGAGGGGAAAGATTACATGGATGGAAAAGTGATGGTTGGAGATGAACAATGATGATGGTACTATATGGTGTATGGTTTGAATAAAGAAAATGATGCTTAAGATTGCATTCAAGTATACCTAACACCAGTCAAGATCTGGAAATGGTTTTGTTTAAAACACATCTCATTTATAGTCTTTCATATAGACTTAGCAAACTGTACTATGGGAAAGATTACATTGTAAGTTCAAAAGGAAAGGATCAAGCTTCTTGGGGGTTCTGGTTACTTTATGATTCTCAAGGTCTAATTGGTCTTGATGCATAAATCTGTGATCTAAACCATTGGATCATATTTTCCCTGAAGCACAATACCACTGTTTTATTTTCTTGGTAGTCTTTGTGATCCATTGAAACTTTCAGGTATTAGAGAGGGCCTTTGAGGATAACAAAGATTGATGTACAAGAATATTGAGCTCATCACCACTATTTCAGGATGGGGACAGGTCACACAAACCCACCAAAGAGATTTATGGGCATTCCTTGAAGTCTAGAGATACTAGGTTACGTGAAAGTTTGGATCTCTACTATTGAAGTACCTCAAGTTGAACCTTGGGCGTACCGAAGTTAGTGAGCAGGGTCCATTCTGCAAGTACAAACACAAAATGAGAAAGTACTGTGAACAATGAAGTGTTATGACTTTCAACCAAAATAGATAAATCAAAAGATCTGAGGTGTTCTTATAAATCATAAGACACAAGTAGTTGATTTGAGACTTTCCTTAAGACCCAAAAAGAATGTTTTTGGATAAGTGACACAAGGAGAGCCTTGGCTTTTTTGAATTTGAGGAATATGTGTAGGTAGTACATGTAGGCTTAGATTGGCTTGAAATTTGTTGTTGGATAAGTTGGTAGTTAGATTTTGGGATTTAATCAATGTGAAGAACAAAAGGATAAACATTGCAAAAAGGACTTGTTGAATTACATGGACTGGTAACGTTGAAAAGCAGTGTATAGAGAGAAACTTTCAAGGAGGTGTAGAATTTGATGATCAAGAGAGAAGAAAATAACCATTTATGGCACAAAGTATGCGAGGCTTCAGGTTACACAGTTTCATGATTTTTTGGGGAAAAAACATCAAGGCCTCTTTGTAGGTGACCTTCCCACAGAGTGGTTTGTTGGTATGGGTGGTTTTTTCCATCTGCTTGCCATTAATCAATGGAGTTCTGGATGAAATGTTTTTTATTCTAGGACTAACTGTGTAAACTTTTTGGGATGCCTTGGGTTAATCATGTAAATTGATCTTTTTGTTTTGATTCTGGTTCTTTTGATCATCCATTTTATTCTCAGCCTTGCTTCCTTTCTCATGTTTTGATCAGTTTTATAATTCTCAGCAAAACTCCATGTCCTGATTCTTTTGATAAAAAAAGTATGTACTTTGCAGGAAAACAAACATCAAAAACCCAAGAAAAGAATTGTTCAAGTTGAAGTAAAAAGAAGTATCACTCAAAACCCTTAAAAGAAAAAGAAAAGAATGCTAAAAACAAACAAATTTCCTGATCTTATATTCACATATTCACATATACCTAGGAAAGTAGGTAAAGAGAAAACAAACAGTTACAAAAAGATGAGTAAGAAGAACTGTCAACTAGAAGCGAAGGGAAAATCCAGAGAATTGACAGAGAATGGATAAAAGGTCAAAATGAACGAGCGAATGAATCAATGAATGAACAAAGATCAATTAGAAGTTATGATAGATTTTAATGATTTGACAAAAAAAGGTTTACAGTAAAGAATCGAAGGATTTACAAAGGATTGAATGGATTTTTTTCAACATTTTTTTTAATGAAAACTTGGTAAGACAGGAAAACTGAAGGTAGAGAAAAACACATGAGACCCAAAAGAAAAAAGTTCATAAGGAGTAAAAAGAGCAAGTGATAGATGTGGGATGAGACTGACAGAACTACATTTGAACGTACATGCAAAGAGCTGTAGGGCGAGATTTTATAGACAGACAAACAAGAAAGAAAAACGAACGAGTTTTCGAGCTTGCTTGGTTTTGAGTGATGAGCTTCATCAAATGTAAAAACAATATGAAACACCGACAAGCAAGAAAGAAAGAGGAATGTTGCATGCGAGAAGAATAAATGAGAAACCAAGAAACAGAGGGATTCAAACTAAGTAAAAAGGTGAAATGAAGATCTTCATCAACGTGCTGGTCTAGATGTGATTTTAGGAGTAGATTTAGCAAAAATTGGTGATGAACGTTCTCCAGCAGAAACGAGTTGATGCCAATAAACCGGATCACCTTCTTGAATACTAGAATGTTCACGAGGAGAAGCTGGACGACGAGTTCGAATGTAACGAGAACGCCGAGAATTAGAGATGGAGATCATTTCAGATTCATAGGAAAGCTCTTCAGGTGAATCCGATTCATATTGATAACTTGGTTCAGGTTTGGCTACGTCGAGATCTTGGATTTGAAGATGATCTCGTTCATCATGTGTCAATATGAAGGATGTTTGACTTGAATGTCTGCCTAGGCCTGGTGCATGTTGGTACGAAGATTGAGGTTGAATGACGCCAGGTTCGTCGAGAACGTAGGTACGTTCCTTGTAAGTCACTTCACCGTAGTGGAAAACCCATCGATGTCCATTGGCTGCTCGACGGTGTTTTGATACAGAGTCCTCACATCGAGAGCATGGACAGATGATGTGATCTATGGAAGGTAAGTTGGTCAGCCTTTAATCGAAAACCGCGAGGGTAGTGATAGATAAGAATAATGATTTGAACTAACAGCCAATTGTATTGCCACAGCCATAACAGCCTAGGCTTTGAGTTAGACAATTACAAGTTCTTTCGACCTGTTCGGAGTTATTGATATCTTCGTTTGAATCAGGATATAACGGACCACAATTGTACGGCATACCATCGGTGCTGAAGAGAGTGATGGAAGGTCGTAAAAGTAGTACCGCCTACATATGATGGTGATACAAGGTCAATCAGATGAACTTGGACTTGAGCATATGGTATTACAAAAAGAAACCTGATGAACTAACCCTCATACCGCGATCACTGACAAAAGCGTCACAATGAGCACATGATAGAACGTAGACCCTGTGAAGCGGGTCAGTAGGTTGTTGTTCAGTGGTAGGAGGAGTGAGATGAGTTTGTTGACGATGTTGAGCCATGGTTGAGAAATTGAGATTTGATTATAAAGATTGACGAGTGTGAAGTTTGTAAGGTGAGAAAGAGTTGTAGGTTATGATTGGCGCAGAGAGAATACGTAGAATGACAGCTAGCAAAGTTTAATGAGTCAAACTGAGAGAATCGAGGAATGAATTGTTTAAATGAATCAAGTGCGGAGATTGGGATTGATGATGTAAATTTGATACAAGAGAGTTGAAAGATGCCAAAGTTTAGCGGAGAAAAAAGGGAAATGGAAGGAAGTGAGCAGGAGCGAGAACCAAGAGTCGGATACAAAGAGGAGAAGGTTTAAAGGGTGATGATGTCTGGACTCTGGAGGGGAAATATCAAGATCTGAAATGGAATGAAAAATTGCGGATGAAACGGTATGAACAAATATAAATAAGGAGACTTGAACCTCAAACGATGGAGGGTATATATATTTGTTTTATCTCGTTCGTCTATAAACGAGCTTACGAGCCGAAGCGGTTAAAGTTGTCGAGGTTGTCAATAGATTTGAACTTCAAAAGAAAGATTCATCAACCCTTTTCTGAATCGAGGTAAAGTATCAAAATATCAAGCTTCAATCAAACTCGAGATACCAAGAAGGATGAGACTCCAAGACTAGAAAGGGGTTTCAGTGGTATTCGGTTGTTCGGTTGTATGGTATGTATCGAAAGATTTGTTTGATATAATGTCAAGACGAGCGAGCCAGGTTCTGGAAAAAACTACCAAACTTGTATGTTGTCATCAAAAAGTAACATCCAATCATGACGGACAGTTTGATCCATTTGTGATGTATTTGAATTGACTTGGTGACCTCATTAATCTTATCCTCATTCTATCAAAACAGATCCGAATCGAGAACCGAAGTTATACGTGAAGATCACAAGACGAATCAACGATATGTATGTAAATTAAGGCTGCTCTTGGGCATATGATGTTGAACAACATTGTACAATATGTGATCCAAGATTCATTGAAAGTGCAAGGAGGAGCTCGAAGATGATCAGCGAATGAACCATCTTGAACTTAATGAATGGTGATGAGGTTGATACCCAGATTCTGTTTGGTTGTGTTGATAAATATTAAGGCTTTCTCGGATGGAAAGAGATAAGGATACGGCAATGGAGCAGATGAGAAGAGTTTGAAGGTTCGTGCAATTTTCTAGCGGCTAGGCGCTTAATTTCCCATCCATCCGGCGAAAGAATCACCATATCGCAATGAAAAAAAAATGCGGCGTTGACAAGGCTTATCGATCTTCGGGTCATGATGTCTCTTCCGGGAGGCACTTCTTCACCGAGGACGGCTCGACCAGAAACATATATGATCCTCCACGTATTTTATGGCGGCACCGTACACGGTTTCACTCAATCCGTTGCAGCCTTGACCACCTATCAGCACGTCGACCGACTGGCGTCATCTGCCAATCACCCAAGTTCTTTGACAAAATATACTGGCCAGCTCAAAGGAGGGACTTAGAGTCAAAAAATGGCATGCGATCTGGCAGGGCTTTTTCCCAAAATCTACTTGCCTGATGAAACTTTTTTTTACAATTTCAAGTTTCCCTAGCCCCAAAACAAAAAGGGTGCGTCTTCAATGTCTCTATAACCTGGTACTCTCGGTTTCTTAAAAGTGCCAGTGGTTGTGTGGATATTGTCATTCAGGGCTTGGTGCCAAAAATCGAGTAGTTTGGCTGATTTAAGTCTGAATTTTGAGTTTTGGTATAGACTTTAAACAGAAGCAATCAAGCTATCAGGATTCTGAAAGTGTTGGGTCGTAGCCAAAAGCAAAGCACACATTTTTCATTTTGGGGCCAGGAAAGCACAGCCAGCATATTTGGCTTGGAGCCAAAAATCCGAGGATTCCTCGGACTCTGACTCCGAGTTAACCCCCATCTGAGGATCCAATCCGAGGCAACGGCCAGGGCCAACATTTGCCTCAGAATTAGCCCTTGGGTGCCCTTTTCCTCAGGGGCGCCGTCCGAGGACTCCTCGGACATTTGTCTCGGAGCCAAATATGCCGGCAGTGAAGGTTAGGGCCCATTTGGCTGGAACCCAAAAACGGTTTTTGGTCAAAAACACCACCGAAGCCAAAAACCGTTTCTTGGGCAAAACAGTTTTTGATTTTTGTCAAAAACACTGGCGGTTGGCAACTTCATTTAATCAAAAATTCTTTGATTTTAAAAAACAGCCTTGAGGCTGTTTTTCAGACCAAAAACAAAATTTGCCCCTCTACTTTGATCTTTTAATGAGCTTTTCAGTTGAGTGCTTGGTAATTGTATAACCAAATTTCATGTTTTTCAATCCACCACTTGAAACAGGGGCAGATTGAAAAAGCATTTGTGTCAACACTGAGACAGCTAATCTACCCGTAGCTGATAGCGCAAGATAACGTAGCTAGAAACATGCCACAAAGCTACAGCTAGCAGGAATTAGCATGAATGAATCCCAGCTACCCTACGCAGAGTCCCAGAAATCTCCAGCTAACCAAATTTGGCCCTGTAGCGTAGTGTAGAGGCACAAAACTCAGCTACAGTAGCTCGTAGTGTAGTGTAACTTGACAAGTTACACTATCATAAAGGTCAGATCTGTGTTAACTGCATACAGTTACGCTACATACAAAATGCATGGTAGTGTGTTGTAGCGTAGCTGTCTCAGCGTTGTTTGTGTAACGATTTCTGGCTAAACCAGCCAAACAGGCTTGTAGAATGGTAGAAAAAGTTCCATAGAACAAGTAGATTTTGGGGAAAAGCCCCAACAGATTTCTTGCCATTTTTTTTTGACTTTACAAGTAAGTCCCTCCTTTTCTCCCAACCACAGTACACCAGCCAAACACACCATCAGTTGGGATACATGTAGACAGGTACACTCACAGCCCCCAATCACTGGTCACTGGTAGCAATACCTGAAGTGTCCCTCCACAAAAAGCAAAAGTGGAGCGGCTTGCTCCGCCTGTGCTATGGTCCCAGGCAAAAAGCGGGTCTAAGTGCTCCGCCTGCGCTACCAGCTTCTCTGAGTTCATAGAGCGGAGCACATTTTGAGCGGGGCAATTGCAAGTCTTGCTGTGCTCTCAAGTTTGGCATGAATGACCCAGCAAGCCAATCTGAAAGATCCTGAAAGCTGTCAAGAGATAAATATCAACACACGCCTCTTTGAATAGTGGTCAATATTCTATTGCACATGAATGATTGAGGTCCAATGTGATTGCTTATGCTGACTTCCTCCTGAATGTTTGTTTTATGTATCTTTCATATATGGTTTGGCTTCTCCATGCTCATTGCATATACTTATTCTTGTGTTTGCATGAAATCAAATTATAGAACAATCCGCTCCACTCTGAAAACCAAAGATCATATGTGATGGGGCACAAGCGGGGCAGGTGTGTCTTGTAAGCAGAGCAAGAGAGGGTGTCAGATGTAGCGGGATTGCGCCCCATTACAAAGAAAAAAAGAAAAAATCAGATTGAAGCGGAGCACTTCAGGTGTTGCTGGTAGGCCAAGGGAACTACCTACATCAGAAAGTTTTTAGAAAGTTGCAAGAAACTTATGAAGTGGGTATTAAATGGATATCACCAATGTAGCCTGGTGTTAAATCCCCAGAACTTTTCAAAGGGGAGCTCAGAAACTTGATGCATGATTTCCCCACAAGATTTGAATTGGTGCTTTGGACCATGAGCTTCCAGAAATTTAGATTCAGAGTTCAACAGTGTTGATCAAATTATGTGTCAAAGTGTTGCAGTGACATTTTGGTTACCCCAAAAGGGCAATGTTGTCAGCTTTGGCAATCTAAGGAGGTCCTCCAGCAGATCATGTGGTTGACTGACTGTTTGTTAAAGGGAAATAGTGGAGAGATGCCTGGCGCAAACAAATACAGCTGTGAGAAATTCTCAAGTGTAAGGCCCAATATTACTTCTTATAGCTTGGTTCTTCTTTCTTGCAGTTGCCCTTGCCCTCCCGATTGCTGGACTTGCAATGTCCCCAGCTTACGCCAGGGGGGGGGCTTGCTTGAAAAGCCCATTTCCTCCAATTTCTTTGTGGATTTACTAAGTTCCCATTGATTCTCTATATATTGGCGCAGATTGGCCCTTTATCCCTATGTGACCTTGACTTTGCCAATTTGTTTTTATTCTGACCTTCACAATTTTCATTTGTTGTTATTTTTCATCATTCAATACCTTAGGGCACGTTTGGTTGCAATTGCAAAGTGTAATCTCAATTTGAGGTCTGTGACTTTGCTAGGGGGCAATTGAGATTTTGTGAAAAAATCTCAAATTTCAAAATAATCTCAACCTGGAGTCCTTTTGCCAAGATCACGTTTGGTACAAAACCCAAACCATATTCAAAATCACCTCAATGCACCTTCACATCCATCACACACATCTGCCCCTTCCAAGATGTCCAATACGGACTCTGATTCAAGCATTGATCTAAGATCAACCTAGCCTTCATCCAACAAAGATGACAATGACCTTGTCCTCAACCTTCTGCTTGAGCACGCTCATGTTTTTCCTTCTGATCTTTCTTTCCTTTCTGTTATTTATTTATTTTTTGAGCTTGAAGCATGGTTTGTGATTTTTGAGATGAGATGAAATTTTCCTGAGAAAAAAGAAGTGTTGATCAAACTGAAATGGCAAAGAGAAAAATGGCCAGTCATCCAATTGGATACTTTGATCAAATTGATTTTTTGACATTGACGAGTTCCAAAAATCTTTGGAACTTGTAGTCATGACGTCAAAGACGGTCAAGTGGCAAATTTTGACAAGTCCCAAACAGAAATTATTGATGGATAATCTCCCTTTTGGAGATTATCCCAAAGGGACTCAAAAGCTACTTTTGGGACAGGGATTGAGATTATTTTTTGGGACCATAATCTCTCACAAACGTCTTTCTTTCAATTCAGATTTTTTTGAAATTCGACTGTGATTATCAAAAAAATTGCCAAAACAAATTGCAACCAAACATGCCCTTACTTAGTACTTATGATTATCTTGCTTCAATTACATTGAAAAATTGACAAACCATCTTTTCAAAACAACTTGCCTTTCTTTCTAACCATCTTTTCAAAACAACTTGCCTTTCTTTCTTCTCTTCTACTCCTGATTTATTTTACATAATATGATCACACTCTTTGTGAAAACATGAAACTAGTCTTCTTTTATACTCTTTTAAATTTCTTGTGTTGGATAGATTGAGTTGTTGCAAAAAGATTCAAAGCAATCTCTTCAAAGGTGGCAATTTGTTGATCAGTCAAATTGATTTATTTTTTTAACCTCATGATTATGGGTTACTGATGTGTCTGCTTCTGATTTTTGTCATGTAGGAGAGTTTCACAAATTTAAAAAAAAAACAAGCCAATCAACACTACACAAAATGTAATCTTTACCTGGCGGTAAAGATTACATTTGGTGTAGTGCAAGTAGCTCAATCAGCCAAATCATCATTTTTAGAGTCCTTGTAAAACTTTCCTTTTGAGCAATAGTGCGCTTGTCACCGCTTCAGTGGACAAAACCTCATTCTCAGTGAGTTTTGATTCTAGATCTCTTGCTTGAAAGCCTCAATATCTAAGCATCAAGTTCAATGATTCAGGGGTTCTCTTCTCGGCACGTTTCAGTATGGAACTATAAGTAGCCTTGCTCCAATAAAAGGAACCATGTTTCATGTAAAAGATGACATTCAAATCAATAATAGAAACACATAAT